CTTCCAAAATAATGGTTTCCGCAAAAAAATTCAAACAGTTTCGAAATCAGGGTCAAAAAACACGTCTTTTAAAAAAATAATTTTAAAATTAGGGAGGTGCATGGTAAAGTGCATTTTATCCCACTTTTCTTTTAAATAATATCTCAGCTGGAGCTGGAATAAGTTTACTAATTGGGGTGTTTCTATACTCCATCAAACATTTTTCCAATCAAGACCATCTTCTAAAGCTTTATTTAACATTTTTGACCGTTTGTATTATTCTTTCAACCATTCCATTAGAAGATTGCGCATATATTGGAGAAGAATTCCAATTCCATTCAAAATCCTCAGAAAACTGTTTAAACTGTCCGTTCTGATCACGGACCAAGATAGAGATGACTGGAAACGATAAGATGGGCGGGAACTAGACTGCAATTGGTCCCTCTGCACTTCCAAACCCAAATTTGTACACAGCTAACCTGCACGCTATCTGCTTGGTAAAATGTCAACTATTTGTATAGGTTCTAGGTCACTTTGTACGGTCGGGTAAAAAGGTACATTGCAGAACGCGGACACTTTGTACTATTATATACATAAAGTATGTATAAGTTATATACCTAAGTAGTAAGTATATATAATATTATAAATTATAATGTAAATTATTAAAATATAAAAATTAAAAATAAAAAGTAAATTGTTTCATCGTATATTAATAATGATCAAAATAATCAAACAATCAATAATATTATTATAAATCTTAATTGTATTATAATATTAGATATCAGTTTTAAAGCAAATTAAAAATTTGTACAATATAAATATATCATAATGACAAATAAAATATAATAATGAAAAAAAAAATCATTAAAAACTACATGCATAGTTATATAGTTATAATTGTATAGTTATATGTGGTTTCGGTTGTGACAGTGTCTTAGTGAAATGCATTTCAACGATAAACGCAAATGATAAGTATTTAACGTAGATATCGCGATTGTGAAATATATATATATATATGATAAACTATTATCGATGTACCCATGAGATTCTCCAGATTATAATATAAAATGTATTTATAACATTTTTAGTAAAATTTGTCATATATAATATATAGTATTATTTACTTGCTAACTTAGGTATATAACTTATATTAATAAGTAATATTTAATAATATATATACTTTATGCATATAATAGTACAAAGTATCCGCGTTGTACATTTTGAACAATGGATCGTACAAAGTGATCGTTTACCATTTGCATAGTATAATTTTAATTATTATCATCATTACATATTCCGCCCAGCCACTAGGTAGCGTTAAAACCAGCTGTGTACAAGGGAAATCAGCAGAGGCACTTCGGACCCGTTAAAAATGTGCTCGTTTCCAGTCCTCTCTATCTTAGTCCGTGGTTCTGATGTAAGTTGTCTACTGGTCTGCCACCATCCGATTTCAAAACACTTGGAATTCCAAATCTGGCAAATATAGGGATCAATTCTGATATGACATGATTAGAATCAATTTTCTTTAATAAAGCTATCTCCACGTATTTTGAAAAATAATCTATTACCTACTTATAGAAAATTTCTATTATTTATATGGAATATATCTATACCTACAATCTAAACATGACTCTAGGGAAGATGTTTAATTTTTTAAATCTTTAATAAATTTCGAAAATTGTTTTGGCAAGCTGACCTATGATAGTTGAGCTTTAGATATGAACTTAGTATAACAGGATCGAGATAGTTGTTTGCATTGTAGGCGAAGATTAGAGAAATTGATGTAATCTGAAACGTGTTTAGATTGTTTAAATTTAAGTTGGGCTCTTTTTTTTCTTTTATTAACAGTCTTAATTCTTTGTTAAACCATATTAGCAATGAATTACAAATATTAGTAACGATAGGGACATGTTTAAATAAGATCTCGTGACAAATAGAATTAAATTTATTAACAGCTGTGTTAATATCTAGATTAAAAAATGTTAAAGACCAGTTGATTTTATCTAATTCATAAGCAATATCAAAAAAAGGTGCTCTGCTGTACAGTAGGTCATAGGCGCACATTGGGTGTGGATTTAGGGGGTGCTAGAATAATTGATGGTACCCAGACCCGTGGGGGGCTTTGCCCCCACACCCCCCTAATGCTATAATAACTGCATTGCAATAATTATAATTTTTTATTTAAAATAAAAACAAATATTTAAAAGTTATTATATTATAAGTTATAATATAATAATATGTAATCATTAATTATTAATATTAAACAAAATTTAATTTCCTGTTTGATAATGCAAATTTTTGCAATATAATTTCCCCATCTATTTTCTTTCTTGGCTCATACTGGTGAGTAACCAGTTTTTCAATCTATCTAGCTCAGAAGGAGCGTTCACACGTTGAAGAAGAAATTGGAATTGTCATTCCCACTTGAACTAGTTTATCGACATTTGGAAACGAACTTTTATGACATTGATTTTTCAAGTCTTCAAATACAAAGTTGGCTGGTAGACTATTCTTTAAGACCAGCATTTCTGCTGATAAACTAGTTGTTGATATTTTCAAAATATCCTGATATAATATATAAACAGATTTATATAATAATATTTCAAAATATATGACCATGTAATAAATATTTTAATAGTTAGTTATTATTAATCAAATATACCTTATAAGTTTTTATAAAACAAAAACTATTATGTTCATCCAAGTTAAAAAAAAGTTGTCCACAGATTCGGCCAGATCTAAGCTTTCTTCTGAAAAACATTTTTCTAAATTTATAATTATTCCATCAGTTATTATTCTTAAATAAACTATTGTACGCCAATATTCAATAGTGTTTGAAGTATTATAATGATATAATATCATTGTATAAGAAAAACGATACTGATCGAAAACGGTTAGTGAGCGAGTGAGCCTATGATATTACGAAGTATATTTTATGATACTAAGGTGAATAAAGTAATTTTATATAACCTATTTACGTGGAATCTTGTATTAAATTTTCAATCCTTAGCTATAAAAGTTGAACATTTTATAAATTTTTAACTACAAAATTATTATTAAATTTTAAATGTGATAAATTTTGTCAAAATTAAAAAATTTTTAAATGATTAAAAAAAAATTGTGCCTATGTATTTTAAATATTTTCAACTGCTATTGTAACCATCTATCAGGGAGCTTTGCATTAAATGTTCACGCTTTTTTACCCAACAAATAAAATTTTATTGATACTTAAAGAAAAAAAAAACTAAAAAAATTGAAAACTGAAAATGTCCATAAACAGCTCAAAAAGAGTCAAAATATTTTCAAAATTGTATGGTGTATAGGAAATGCTAATATAAACATTCAGTGAATTTTTCATGTTATTCGTTTTTGAATTACAACAAAATAAGGAAATCGCTACATGAGAAATCGAGTGAATATCCAATGTTGTAAACATTTTAATTTCAAAAGCTCATAAAAATATAGAAATTTTTTGTTTGATAAAGGTAGATAATCTTATAAGGAATCTTGTATTACATTTCAAAACCTTAGATTTAAAAAGGAAAGTTTTTACGAATTCTTGACTCAAAATACTTTGCTAATTTTTGTGATTTTTCCATATTTTGTCAATTTTTGAACTTTAAATGCTTCTAAAAGAAATTGAGACTAAGGATTTTTAATATTTTTCATCTGCCTTTTAAACAATATACTAGGAGTTTTCTATTACATTTTAAGCTTATTTTAACCAACAAACAAAATTGAATTGATATTTTTAGAAAAAAAATCGAAACTGAAAATGTCCGTAAAGAGCTCAAATTATTTTTAAAATGTTATTTTTTATAGAAAATGCTAATATAAACATTCAGTCAAAATTTCATGTACCTACGGTCATTTGTTTAAGAGTTGCACAAAAAACCAAAATCGATTTTCTCGAAAACAGATTTTTCGTAAAAATTCCCGTTTTTCCTGAATTGTTCTTTTGTTTTTCACTGCACTTTTGAAAACTACTGACATATTTTTACTTTTTATCCCCAAAGTATCAACTACATTCACTTTCCTATCAGAAAAGATACTGTTGAAGAAGATCCAAGCACTTTTACTGTTCTAAAACGTGATGACAGACACAAAAAAAACACACATCATTGTAAAATCAATACATAATGAACGGCGTTATGCAGAAACCAACCATCCCACAAATGTTCTATTTGGAAATAATTTAAGTTTTAGAAAAATATTTTTTTTAATTGGTTAGTATATGACCTATATCCAATATACCTTATTAATTAGATGTATGTACTTCCAGACTTACCAATAAAATCCCGATACAAATTGATGCTCACCATTATTTTAAGACTTATGTTGGTTGGTTGTTTTATGATTAATGTAAAAATGTGGCATGGTTGCTTTACGTTGGTTGGTTGTTTTATGATTATTGTTAAAATGTGGTATGGTTGCTTTTAAAATGCAAACTTTAATAATATTATTAGATATACTTTACTAAGAAAATACACTAATGTTAGTAAATGAGTAAATGATATGTGACTAACTTTGATGATAGTTGACAATTTTATTAATAAAACATAATTTACAAACTTAAATAGTCTTTGAGTTATATTATTATAAAACTAATATGTGTAATAACAAAATTAATAAAAACTAAAGTCTATTAAAACAAAAACAAATCACTAAACTACTTTTTTGGTAAAATATTTATAAAACTAATTAACTCTCAACATTAAAATATTTATCTCAGTCTTTGAGTTACATAAATTTAATACTTAAAATGTGTAAGAATAAAATAAATGAGAACAATCCTATCAAAACAAAAACAAATGTAACAATCTTTTTTAGTAAAACATTTAGAAAATTACTGAACTATCAACATTAAAATATTGATCTCAGTCTTTGAGTTACATTAATATTTTAATACTTAAATGTATCAGAATAATTCTATTAAAACAAAAACAAATGCAACAACCTTTTTTAGTATAACATAATATTTATAAACTTAACTAACAGCATTAAAAAATGTAATTTTATTATTAATCATTATTAAAAGTTTCAATATCAAAATCTAAATTCTCATTGTACCCATTAACATCTTCCTCAATGACAGAATTTCCCGTAAAATTTGTATGAAACTCATGAGCATCTGCAGGTATAAGATGCATTATTGATTTTATATCATCTAGTTTTTCTTTGTTTATTTCTTTCCCATTAGGCCATAGTTGAGTAAGTAGTGCTCCAGATGGAAATATGTCATTTGATGCTCTACCACGATAACGTTTTTCAATATTAATTTCGATAAAGTTTTTATCTGATAATGTTTGACTCATAAATAATGAGAATGGATGACTCCGGCATAATTTAATTTGTCTTGTTTGTAGCCAATTGATTTTGTCACCGGAGACTTTAACCTTTCGATTTGTAATATTTTTCTCTAACATTTCTAAGCTAACAAAGTCTTCATCATTCATTTGAGTAACTATTAATGGATTTTTTTTTTCATGTTTTCAAAACGTTAATATAGTCTTGAGGAGTATAAAGCCTTTGTTGGTATTTTAAAGCTGACTCAATATCGCTGAAGTTTCTGACGTTGGGTAAAAAACTGTGGCCAGGGTATAAGTTCTTAAGTGTTATAGTATTAAGTTCAGTACTATTGAAAATAGTTTTCAATAGTAAAACAATTTTTATATTCCTATTCTGCCCACCACATGAATCAGACCACAAAACAAGTTCTTTGATATTTTGATTCATATTATCTTTTATGTGTTTCCTCAAACATGATCCGACCTCTTGAGCTCCTCTTCCTGACTGGCCTTCCAACAAAACATAACAATATCCCTGATGTTCCTTTCCATTATAAATTCCAGTGTTATATAACCAAAGTTGTCTTTGCTAAAATATTATATTAGTAGGTTAGTAGGTAACCTAGGAAGAGCTAATGTTTTTTCCATATCATAGGTAAGGCATTGGAAATCTTCACACTCATTTGATTTTTTCAAATCTTTTTTAATGAAGCCTGTGCATTTTCAGCTAAATTTAAATGTTCCTTGTGTTCAATTGTTAGTTCTTGTTTTTTATTGTATTAGCTTCATTATTTATTTGAACAATTAAAGAATCACATGTATGTATTGCAAGTATCTTTTTTGAGTGATTTAAATTTTAAATTAAAATTATCATAAAAAAACCTTTTATATGATGAGAAACTGACTAATTCGGTTATATTTTCTTCTTTGAATGCTGCGTACATTTTATCCAAAGTCATTTCTAGCGGTAAATACTCAAATGTAGATTGTTCTGCAGCAATATAGGCATTTTGGGCCATGTATTCCCTTATTTTCCAAAAATTATCAAACTCAAATCTTCTCTGTTCTATTGAAATCTTTTGTACACACTTCATTGGGTTATAAACAGTCAAAATCTTTAAAATTCTTAGGATTATTATTTTTATTTTTGTTGTTGTAATAACTCAGGTTTGAGTTTTTTAATAGTTTTACCTACCTTTTTTCGGTCTACCACTATAAATATTTTGATTGATATCTTCATCATCATCTGGAATTGTTGCTTGATCATCATCGTCACTAGGTTGCACTATGGTGCAATACGGATCAAACGTTAGATCCATGTCAGTATCATCAGTCTCATCGTAGTCAGAAAATACAATATTTTCGATTTGAATTTCTGTTATTAAACAATATGATATTATATTATAACATCAAAGATATCTATAATATTCTCTTTGTTCCTTACCTTCCAAATCAACTGAGACATTATTATTTGTTTCAATACCTGTTGTTACTTTTTGAACCAAATTTACCATCCGACTGGCCTTCTTCGTTCTGTTTATGTTCATGCTATGTGAGTCATAATACACTTAAAAAGTTCTTATAAAAGTAACTAATAACGATCGTTTGTTATTAGTTACGAAATCGTCATAACAAAGAAAAATTAATTAAAATATTACCATTTTCAAACACTCCATTGATAATAAAATAAAATAGTGATTATCAAATTAACAGAAAACGAGGTAGATTCTGGGGCATTGAAAATAATGCCCTGTGATCTCTGTCAGATAATTCGATATAAAAGTCTGTTTGTTCAAAGCACATAATTTTATTTTCTAGGACAGAGATTTTTTCTTTTAACTTGCTATTCTTCGAAATAATATTATTTAGCGATTGTAAGGCCTTGTCAAGTTTTTTTGAAATATTTGATTCTTGCTGGGTAATCTTGTTTTGCAGAGACATAACTGAGTTTATAAGTTCTTCAAGTCTTATATTATCAGATTTATTTAGAATTGATGGAGGCATCTTATGAGAACATATCTTCCAAACACTTCCAAAAATTCGAATTAGTTAACAATTTTGTAACAGACGTATTTAAGACACACTTTTTATGAAAAAGTAATTTGCAAGGACAACAGGCGGTAGAGAGTTGGTTTCTAGCGATATTTAATGAACACAATATACACAAAACCATTACATAATATTATCTTTAAGCCAGGAGTCGTAATCGGATGGTTACACGATAAGCACGACCGTCTCGATAGATGTCTAGTACCTACTGTACTGACATAATAATAATAATAAAAAAATAATAATAATAATATTATTCGTGATTTTAATGTTATTATAATATTATCATTTAAAAATGCTGTCATATATTACATACATGATACATACTAAATAATATTATATTGACGACTGTCTACATTATACGACTATGTATATTATATAATTATGTATATGGAATATCCAATTTTCTACTAGAAACTACTCTCAATGTTGAACATTTAAGCATTTCTGTTCCAAAATGTGATGACTCACAACACTTAAATAGGTAGATATTAAAAAAAACAATCATAGTTGCAAATCAAAATATTTATCGATTCGCTCTGAACATAAAAAGTTTTTTCTTTAACTGTTGTATAAAAATCGTTTTTAAATTAAGTTCAATGTTTGAATTTTGAGTTTTATATGTTTAACTCACATTTTATATTCAGTAACTAATTTACATTTTCATTAATGTGATAAGATAATTAAAATTGTTTGTGATCTTTGAACCTTATATCATAATATCGTTTAAACCTCAAGTATAAACAAAGTCTAAATCTTCAATACAGAGAATTTTAAAATAAAAATCCTAATTAAATAAAAGCTTATTTTTTATTACGTCCTTGATGTTTTTGGTTCAAGAAAATAAACTTTTTCAGATGGTTGAAACCTGACACTGTCGATGAAATGAAGTTTGTATCTAAAGATGTTTTATTGATACGAGCCGGAAAGACGTTAATATTTTATGATGTTGGTACTCAAAAAGAAGATATCTTAATAGTTGGCAGTAAATCGTCCCCTAACAGTGGTGATGGGGAACACGATTTACCTTTAGAAAGCATTGGGTGTGTTGATTGCTGTGATATAGATTTATTGGCTTTGGCTGAACAGCCACCAGTACCCAAGGTGGTCATATGTTTATACCCTGAACTAAAAGTGTTAGCAACTCTTAATGGTATGTAAGGAAAATATATTATGCCTATTATGTTTTATAAAATAATTTTACATCTACAATGTGAGTGTAATATGGAATGTTAAGATGAAATAAAATTGATGTAATTACCCTTCATTGAATATTTTATGTACACAATGTTATATTATTGAAATGTACAGTGTAAGTTATTATTAGTGAAAGTGTTGGCCTATTTTAAACTTTAAATGTTTGCATTCATCAATATAATAATAATCGAACACCGTCCATTTTATTAATTATTGTGATACCTACTACGTGATTAAAAAAAACTTTTACATTAAATGCAATGTATTTTAATGCATTTCAGATAACAGCTGTTCTGCAGCTTATAAGTCCATACTGTTTCTAAGGTTGGAATATTTAATCGGCTTGAGGGATTACCCGGCATTCGATTTGATAGTGTGGGCATGGAGGATTGGAGAAAAACTTTTGGTCATTGACACCGGATTCATTCAGCCGAATCAGTATCTAAAGTAAAAACTGCTTGATGTACCAAATTCCATAAGAATAATAAATAATAATTGTATATACTTTATAAAACTACTACTACCCACTACTAATAAGTAGGTACCTAATATTACGAGATGATGCCAATTACTGATTGATATATCTGCGTCCCTGGTATACAGGCAGTAACAGGAAGACCTGACAGATGAAATAACTTTTGTTCTGATCAATATTTAAAATACATTTTTTATGTATAATTTAGTTACTTGTGCTACACGTATAATATAAAACAAACTATGGAACAAATTCACTTAAGAGGATGTTACCCATGCATTTGTTGTCTTCGTTTTACACACGTACTACATAGCAAATTACCGTTCAATAGTGTGCTATTAGTTTTGATATTAGAGTGAGTTGACCTATTATCAACTTTTTAGATAATAACATTACCTGTGCTTAAGAGTTGGCTTTTATTCGATATTTTAATTTTCAAGCGAATTATGAGCATTTTTAATTTTTGATATTTCAATTACCTACCCATATCTTGCTTGAAAATGAAAATTTCGAAAATCGGCAACAGAAAGCACAGACAATGGTCTTACCTAAAAGCTTTATAATATGTAAATTCACTCTAGTATTAAAACTAACAGCACACTATTGAAAATAGTGAACGACAATTTGCTATGTCGTGAGTGTGTAGACGGAGACAACAAATGTGTGGGTAGCGTCCTCTTAAGCTATCCAAAAATTTTTTTAATCATACGTTCACAACAAGACGTAAGAACGATAACGCAAAAAAAAAAAATCGTGGAAATAATTATTTTGGAAGTTATATCCTTCAAAAGTTTGCAATTTTACATTTATACGCATGCGCACAACATTACTTTACTGCCTCACCTATAAAGAATTTTGGTTTTTTTTCCACTTAAAGTACCTATTAGAGTAAAAACTATTTTTTTATTTTAAAAATTAAGTGTTCCTGTGTAATAAGTACCTATTTATATTTCTGTCTACCTTATACCATGCTAGGTGTACGGTATGGTGTACCTACATTTTACAGTATACAGTTGCTTTTTTTCGATAGATCGATGTTATTTCAGCGGTGTATCGATGTATCGTCGCTGTGATCGGTTAGATAAATCGAAATCGATAGAACGTTGTAAAAACATCTTTTACTAGATACATCGTTCTAGTTGCGATTTTGGCCATCCCTACTAACCACAAGCCCGCAACCATTAACACAGCAGCCCGGATTAGTAATGTCGGGTAACGTTGTAATTGTAAGTTGTGATAGGAATAATCGAATGATTAGTAATCGATTTATTTTATAATCGAATAAATCATTCGAATGAATTTTTCAAAATTCGATAAAATAATCTAATAGTTTTTACTTTTTTTATCTCACTACCCGTATACCTACAACTGATTAATTAGTGACTAGGTACATTATAGTTTAGCTTTTATAATTATTGTCATTGGTATAGTCTGTTGATAGTGTCACAGAACAAACAGAAGGGAATCTTATTTCATTTAACATAGGCTCTTATGGGAGATGATAAAACCACGTCCGACATTTCTAAAATTTAAACGTGCTGCCACGTACCGGGAATTTCTCTTTTTCTTTATATTGTGCAGCACTGTTTATTCGTTCAAATTTCTAATATATTATTATATTCAAACAATCAAACCGATTTTTTTTAAGAAATTGCATTTTTACCATTTATCTAAGTACAGAATCTAAGAAAAACAAAAACTATACATATTTTATTTATCACTATATTTAGTTGATGAATGAACAAAAATGCATAGGTACACAGAAGATTATAAAAGAAATTATGTACGCTGGTTTTGAATAATCTAAGCAGTACTAATTTTATTTTATTTTTTTGGAACTTGTGTAATTTGTACACGCAATTGCTAAGACAAATTGAAGATTTATTCTAAATAAATATACTGGTAGAAGTATGTGACATTGTTACATAACCTGTACCTATAGTCACTAGTCAGTAGGAATACCTCAAATCCACATTTAATACTCTCTAAGAGCTGTAAAATTTAAATTATTACACCGTATAAATTCAATTTATTTTTTTATTTTTTTTGTAAAGTATCAAAAACAAATTACATCATCGTAAACAATTATTACAAATAATAAAACAAATATAACAATCAACACGCATAACAAGTTAACATTATAATTTATTTAATAGGAAAACTCAGACTTTGATAGTTACCAAATGAAGAATATTAATTATGAAAGTACGTTAGTACTTGACTAAAAAATTACAAAAATAATAAAGTTAAAATAACAATAATGAGTGGAATTGCAGATTAACAGTGTAGCCACAAACCACAGAAAACTTTAAAAAAAAAAGGGAATTTCTCGGTACGTGGCAGCACGTTTAAAATCTAGAAATGTCGGACGGTTTTTCGATGAGCCTTAAGATTCCCTTCTGTTTGTTCTGTGATAGTGTATACAAAAATTATAATACTGAAATTAGGTACCTAACACTCAGTTGTTGAAGTTAAACTCCTTGTTTATAAACTTTCGAATAGATCATCAGTCAATCAACTATTATCTATAACATGTATCTAGGACCTAAGTTAGAACCTAGTTAGAATAAAAAATATAAATTAATTAGTTGATTGGTACTTATTAAGTATTTAATTATAAAATATAAGATAATCATAATATAAAATAAATACCTTAAATATAAAATATTTCAAACTGATACAATACAATATTAAAAACTAATTAATAATGTACAACATTAATACTATGATAATTAAAAAACTGCGTCTTGCATTGAGAAAAAAAAATTTTTCATTTATAAAGTTAACCCTAAATTACTATTTAAATATAATCTAAATTTTTAGGGTGTAGTCTGTTCCGACGGTCGTTTGTTATTTGTCCCGTTTTTGAAAACACGCGTTCTAATGGTACAGTAGTCGCGGGAACACATAAATATTTTAATGAGAGCGTATAAAGTTTCTGTCTCTTGAGTACTTCTCATTATAGAATTAATTTCATCAGTTATCCATTTTTCTGTATTATTCGCATTATCCACTAACCCAAATTATCCACATTTTTAAACCTTTGATCTAAAAATATCGTTTTTGATACTATTTTATTGCATTCTAGTATCCCTAAACGCTTAGCTAAGACATCGATTGCTGTTTTTTTTAAGTAAATCTCCTGCTGTTGTAGTACTTTTGTTTCTCAATGTATACTGAAGTCCTCGTATCATTGTATCAAAGGAATAACTATCGAAAGTGTTGGATAATTTTCCCCAGATAACTCAACTGTCATTATTTCAAAAGGTTTTAATAATGGAAGATAGTGAGATATTAATTCTCATTCTAACGCGTTTAAGAAACTTGGAGCACGAGGAAGAAATGTTATTGCGGCAGATAACAGTGCTTTAATTTGAATAAGTCTTTCTAACATTATCAAACTAGAATTCCATCTAGTGCTAACGTCTTGCTTAACTTTTAATTCGGGAAGATTCATTTGGTTTTGTATTTCTTTTAATTTTGTAGACGCGAAAACACTATGTTTAAAATGCTCGACCAACGCTCAGCATTTTTTTAGAACGTTAAGTAACTCTTCATTTGAAGTAATTGAACCATTAACAGTTAAATTTAATGTGTGCGCAACACATGGATGATGACACCCGTTGTCTGAAACGATCGTTACTATTTTTTCTAAAATACCCCATTCATTTAAAATAACTGAAATGTAAATAGCAATGATTGCACCAATATGTATTTAAATCATTTCTCTTGTTGCTAAAACAGGTGAATAAAACGATCATTATATATGAAATGACACGTAACAGTTAAATAAGCCCTACTGCTATAGGAAGACAACATATCAGTTGTAAGTGAAACATTGTTGATACTTTTAACATAGATTTAAGAATGATAGCTATTTTATTATATTCATCCGGCAATAATTTTGTAGTTAACGTTTTCCTACTAGGAGGCTTATACAAAGGCTGTAATTTTTCTGAATACTCCAAAAATCCAATATTTTCAACTAATAAATGTGGTAGATAGTCAACAGAAATAATTTTGATTAGACTTTTGTCAATTGAACTTTTTTCTACTTCGGATAAATTATTACCTCTAGTCGAACCGAATAATTTTAATTGACGAGCACGTTTAGGTAAAGGTGAAATACAGGGCTGCTATAAACTCGTATTAGAACTTGAATGTCCTGATTGAAAATTAGAACTAGTAGAAGGACCGGCCCTCTAATAAATCTGAATTTAATTGTTCTTCAGTTTCTATAACAGGATTAAGGTGCGCAGTATGTTTTCTCTTCAAATGTTCTTTAAATAAAAAAAATAATACAAACAATATAAATAAATTGGAATGAAAAAGTCTCAAAAAAAGGTAATAGTAATTAAGAATGTTACTAATTTAATAATATAAAAAATGAAGTTAATATTTTTAAGATTATTTTATAGTTTGATTTAAATTTTTTTATTTGGTTTGCTTTTATAGTTAAGTTTCAAGTTTGTGATATTGAAACAAATATTCAAGGCTGAATAATAACATATCTTATAAATAGTTAAATTAGACCAGCGGTTCCCAAACTTTTAGGATCAAGGAACCCTTAGGAAATAGTTTGTGTTTTGCGGAACCCTAATGTCTTTACTTCCAACTCAACCCCATTTTTTCTAAAAAAAAACAGTACAACAAAAAATATTTTAATGATATTGCTAATGATTATTATTTATTACAATTAGTTAAAAAACAATTTTCAATGAAAATTTTATTTATTTAAATAACAAACATTTATTATTAAATTATCACAAATATTTATTTTTAAAAAATTATAATTAATTAGATTTTAAAATATACATACTATTAATATTTTTAGTGAAAAGAATGGAATTGTTTGATTTACAATATTTTTAAAATTAGGTTTTATATCTAAAACTTGAATTCGTAGGTCTGGAGCGGCATTCAATCTATTTCTGTATTTATTTTTTGTATACGCATAAGATTAAAAACCAGCCTCACAACGGTAGGTTGTTACAAACGGTAATAGAGTAAAAATAGCTTTTTCAACTAGAGGTGGGTACTCGTCCTTTAGTTCAATCCAAAATTTTTCAAAAGGTTTTTTTTTGTTCACAAAAGAATTTTGTATCCAATCAACGTCATTATTAGTAGCAGGAAAATACTGAGACAATGATTTTTCGAGGTTTTCCAAATGTTCGATAACAATTTTTTTAATATTAGTTGTTAGTTGCAATTCGTTTTCCTTTAAAAAATCCATCAAGAGAGGAAAGCATTCAAAATTATTCTCATTTACACATGCAATCCAAAAGTTAAGTTTGTTTCTAAATGTTATATTTTTGTCTCTGACCACGAATGTTGTTATTGTTTTTCCTTGCAAAGACTTGTTAACTTCATTCAGTTTACTGAATATGTCTGTGTGATAAGCTAATTTTATAAGCCATTGGTCATCATGTAATAACTCGAAATAACTCATAGATATAGATAGATTTTGTCCCGAAAAAAATCTTTAAATCATGGCGCAGTTCAAACAACCTACTTAGAACCTTTCCTCTTGAAAGCCATCTGACTTCAGTGTGAAGAAGAAGTGAATAATGCTGACTACCTATTTCTTCACATACTTTTTTAAAAAGTCTAGACTGGAGTGGACGACTCTTAATATAGTTTACAATACATACAGCCTCATTCAGAACTTGTTTTAACTCCAATAGAATTTTCTTACAAACAAAAGCTGGGCGATGTAAAACGCAATGACTACTGTGACATTTTGGTGTGAAATTTTTTATTCTTGTCACGGTTCCTTTAATTTTTCCAACCATAGCTGCAGCTCCATCACTACATAAATCGATACATTTAACCAAATAAACCTGATTTTTATTCATATATCTATCGATGACTTTAAAAATGTCTTCACATGTGGTATTTGAGTCCAAAGGAGTACAAAGCAATAAATCTTCTTCGATAGATGTTTCAAAAATATACCTCACGAAAACAAGCAGTATTGAAAGTCCAGCAACGTCAGTACTTTCGTCAAGTTGAATAGCAAACATGTTACAACTTTTCAACCTGTTTGTTAGTTGATCTTCAATATGGTCCTATATTTTATGTATCCGATCAGATATAGTGTTGTTGGAGCATTGAACAGTTGCAATTTCCTTAGCAGTCTCTTCTCCAATCGTGCAGCGAACTATTTCAGTCATACATGGTTTAATTAGAGACTCAGCAATTGTATGTGGTTTACCAGCACGAGCAATGCTGTAACTCAAAATAAATTATGCTTCTGTTGCATTTTCACTGTCGTTTTTCACGTATTTATGTAAGCCAGACAAGCTGCTATTATGATCTTCTTTACGTTTTTAAAATAGTCCATTTCCTTGTTCATCAAATTTGGATGGTTGGTTTCGAGGTGTCATTTAAATTTTGCAAGTGCCAAAGAACTGTTCTGAAGAATTAAATTACAAATAACATATTGTCCATCAGGCCTTTCTACAGTACCAACAGGAATAAATCCAAATTTAAGGTAGGATTCATCATATTTTCTCTTTTTCGAAGGTTTTAACTCAATAATTTCAGGTACAACTATACTTTTTTCCGAAATATTACTATGAGAATTATTTTCCACGACATTAGTAATCTAAAATAAATTAAATAATAATAATGACACTATAATATTATATTATATAATTATAATAATTATAATTACAAGACTGGAAACGACTAAAAATTAACTAATTTTATTCAAATTTCTTACCGAACAACTAGGAATAGCATCTTTCAATATAACTTGTTGAGATTCTATTGTTGATGAAGACGTCACAGTCTCATCAATATTATTACTTGTTGTTTTGGCCAACAACCGTCCTGTTCTAAGCCAATTATGCATGGCAAACTTTTTATTTGTACTTAATATGTTGTATTTATAATAAATAATAATTAATAACGCAGTAACAACGTACAACTAAGTATGTCGTATGACAACTATATACCAACTGAATCATAATCTCTTAATTTTAACTCATTACGATTACGGATATAATTTATCAATCGTGTATCGAGTGCACATAAGTTATTTTTATAAGTTTCGCACAATTTACTGGCAATCGCGTTGACACGCTTATCAAAATTCTACAAATCTACATCGTTAACGTAATGACAACGTCTATAGGTACATGAGTGTTATAATTTTATTCTGTTCAATTTCAAGTACATACATCTTTTAGGTGCCATTTTACGAAATATAAAATATAATTATACACGGAAACACGTCTTAATTCAGTTAGTTCTTATTCGACTAATGCCAGAAACCACAGTGATAAACTGATAATAAATTAATAATATTATTGGTGTTTGTATCTTATTCTTATTAGTTATTACTTTTATAATATTATTTATATTAGATGAGTATCCAACACTATTTTTGGAAATAATTATATTGTATTTCCTATTTCCCAGTATAGGTATAATGGTATTTGGTAGTGTTGGTTCCATCATAAAAACCGCCAGTTGGTACTATACAGTATTACAGTCCAGTACTCGGTAATATTGTAGTATACGCCATACGAGTAAGAAAAGTAAAATTGAGATAGAAAAGCATTCGATTATTTTTAAATTACATTATTCGAATTTCGAATGTTTTATCATATTTTATTCGATTAATTCGTTCGAATTATTTTTAAAATTATCGAATTGATTCGATTATTTTATTTGATTATTCCTATCACTAATTGTTAGTAGTCTTGAAAAACCGGCCAATGACTAATCTATGCATGACAAATTAAATAGGTACCTATAGTAAATAGTCAGCAACTCGTGATACGCATGTCTGTGACGTAAGCATTTCTATAACTGTTCAAGTGGTGGTGGAGTCTTTGTCGGCGACGGCAGAGCAATGAGAAACGGAGAAATGCTTACGTCACAAAATAATGCTGGTTGGTGGGTGGATTTCAAACCTGGTATATGCTGACATATGTACTTATTTAATTTGTCATGAATCTATAGTATTTATAATAAATTATATAAACATCAGTTCCAGGGTTCTTAAAATTAATGAAGTAGTTCACTGTTAGGTAAGCATACCCTTCATTTTTTAAACAGTTGTAGCTCTATATTTATACTTAAAATAGTATACCTAGAGGCATAGTATTTTTATTTCCAGTACCATGTCCTTTAAAATATAATAAACAACAATATTTGCAAAACAAGTATTTGATTTTCGGAAAAAGCTGTCCATAGATATAAATCAAGATGTTTTTGACTTAAATATCAACGTATTTCTTTTCCACCACGATTTTCAATGAAATAAGGGAATTTAAAATCTTTTGGAGGATTCCAATGATTTTTAAAAGATTATAACGAGTATGATCACCAACAAATGTGTTCAGAAATTACCTATGTAATAAGTAATTGTCATCGATTTGGAAGTATGGAATTTTCTGTTTCATTTTTAATTGATTCAGTTGATTCAGATGAATTATTCACTGTATCAGATATTCAGATTCAGTTGGTTCAGAAGAATTAGGCACTGTATCACTAAAAGTGTCCATAGTTTTATTTCTTTCGAAGGAAGATTGCAACTGCTCGAGTTTCTTTTTTATTTCCATTTTCAAATTTTATGAAGTATTTTTACCAATAATTGGTTATATTTTAATTACTAAAATAGTATATTTACCAAGTATAATGTTTAAAGATGAAACAAAACCGTTGTTGTCGTCGTCGTCCGTCGTCAGGAAATAAAACCGTAAAGGTGCGATTCCTATGCACGCGTCTGTAGACGCGCCGCGGCGCGGCGCGATTCAAATTTCGGCCGCGTTGCACTAGTTTACTTGTTAGTAAGTGGAACCGATTCCTATGACAGTCGCTACAGCGCGCGACTGTCGCGCGCGGCGGCGACTGCGGATCTGCGACCGCTCCGAGAGGTGTCCAAACGCGATCGCGCACGAGTCTGATGAGTGATGACTGTTCAGTTTAAATTAAAATTTCAATTTTTTTTAAATCATCCTTGAAGAAAAATGACACCAAAATCAAATGTGGCGCTTACACCTGAAGAGGATTCAAAACTGATTGAACTTGTGAGTAATCATCCTTGTTTGTTTGATTTGGAAAATAAATTTTATAGAAACATACTGGTAAAAGAAAATGTTTGGCAGCAAATATCAGACGTTTTAAAAAAAACTGGTAAGCATAAATACATTAATTATATATTTATTCCTATTGTAACTAAAATAATCCTATAATAAATAATTCAAAATTTCAAAATACGGCTTAAACCATAGTTACTATAATATCAAGCATTTTATTTTTATTTAATTTAGCTAAAGCATTGATTTAAAAATATATGTAATGGCTAAAGCATTGACTTTTATTTATATTATATAGAATAAATTATATTAGAATATTAGTTATTAGAACAACATTTTTAGCATGCCATGGATTTGCCATCATTGCACAATAATATCACAAATTATGTTCTTATAAGTATGTGTTTATGTCTCAAAAATAATATTATTATATTATTACATATGTTATTCCCCCATCTTCCCCTAAGTTATTCTCGTACATTCGTTTTATTTTTATCATGCTTGTTCAAAGCATATTACCAGTAATTACACGCGAGACACGAGTGTATAGAAATCAGAGTCCCATTTGGCTATTTGTAGATATATTATTGTTAATATAATACTTTATTGGAATATTTTTAGCTGTGGATAAATACTAAAAATAATCTGATGACTGATATGTAGTAAATATAGGTATAACAATTAAACAAAGTTTAACAAACCAACAAATTGATATGTATATTATTATGAATAAATATTAATGATCATGAATTTTAGATGTCTTGCATATTATTACAATAACTGAAATAAATTTAATGCATATGTTATACATTAATATGTATATGTATACATTAAACATTATTACACTATATTACAAGTACAAATATTTAAATATGTATACAATATTTGATACGAAAAATAGTGACATGTGTTTTAATATTTTACATTTTTTTAATTATAAATTATAATATAAATTAATAATAATAATATAAATTAAAGTGAACCATTTTGTTGAACTTGGTGGTGTTGCCAAGGTATTGCTCCTTGCGAACTATTAAAAAACTTTTTAAACTCATCTCTTACACAAAATCCTTCAATATTTGCAAAACCTCCTGTTTTTGCAAGTGACGTCATATTTGTAGATGGTTGTGGTTCATTATGATCAAAGTTGTAATAATGGTAACTTGTGTTCTCTAAATATCGATCCCGAAGTAGATTGTGTAGGCAACATGCAGACAATACCAAGTAATCTACAGTCTCTACTTTCAGTGGTATTGGTGTGTAAAAAATTCGGAATACTTGAGATAAAAGCCCAAAACTATTTTCAGTAGTTCTCCTTGCTCGAGACAGTCGATAATTAAATACGGTTTTTTGATAATCTTTTCTTGATTCTGTTTTTGAATAAGGACGCATCATATGGCAGTCCAAACGAAACGCTTCATCACCAATATGTACGTATGGCAATTTTATATTTGAATTTGGCAGTTTTTCTGGGAGAGGGAAATATTCACCAGTCCGTGTTACTTCTGAGATACCACACTTATTGAAAATTCCACTATCACCTTCTTTGCCGTATGAACCGATGTCGACGAATATAAATTTGCAATTAGCATCAACAATTGCAAGTAGAACGATTGAAAAAAAATCTTTGTAATTATAAAACAAAGAGCCACTTTTTCCTGGTGCAAAAATGCGTATGTGTTTGCCGTCTATAGCTCCGACACAATTAGGAAAGTTCCATCTTTTCCAAAAGTTCTCAGCTATAATTTTTAAACCATCTTTTGTTGGAGGACTTAATAAAATAGGTGTTAGTCGAATACTTAAATATTTTAATACCAATCTAATAATTCTTGTAATGTAACTTTGTGATATTCTGAAAGAAAACGCCAATGACCGAAAGGATTCACCAGTCGCCATATACCTATGCAAAAAAAAAAATATGGCCGTAATAAAAACTGTGTTTATTTTTTTTTAGATTTTCTAGTTCAATAAGAACTATGTATAAGAAACTTTAAAATGTCTCTAAAAAATAATTTTGATTATATATTTTTTAAATTTTTTGGTTACGGTATGAACTATTTATAAGAATCTTTGTTTTTAATTTTCAATCCTTAGTTATAAAAAGCGGGTAAGTCGTGGATGTCACTCTGCTGTACAGTAGGTTACAAGTGGGTTACTGTTATAATGGATGGAATTAAATTTGAATCCAATGATATTTTATCATTGTATATAACAATATATACGATTCTGAGCGGAAACGGATTATCTGTCTAGGATAATATTATAAATTATTAAAAATTTTCAAATCTTAGATTTAAAAAGAAAATTTTTTATGAATTTTCTAGCTTAAAATGATTTGCGAATTTTCGTGATTTTTTCCAAAATTAAAATTTGAATGTTTGTAAAAAAAAAATCGTGACGATGTACTTCTTTTATAAATTCAACTGCTATTGTAAAAATATTTTAGCAGCCTTGTATTAAATTTTCAAATCTTAGAATTAAAGAGAAAAACTTTTATGAATTTCTATCAAGATAATTTGAACATTGCCGTAATTTTTACGTATTTAGTCAAAATTTGAACTTTAAATGCTTATAAAATAAATTCGTGTCTATGTATTTTTTAATATTTTTCAACTGCTATTGTTACGATGTGTTAGAAGCCTTATATTAAATTTTCAAGCTTTTCTACCCAACAAATAAATTTTTATCGATATTTATAGAAAAAAAAAAGAAAAAAAGTTGAAAAATTAAAATGTCAGTAAACAGCTCAGAACAAATCTAAATATTTTGAAATTTGTATCAAATATAGAAATTGCTTATAAAAGCATTCAGTTAAAATGTCATGTATCTACTGCAACTTCTTTTAGAGTTACACCAAAAACCAAAATCGATTTTGGACAGTTGAAATTTTCGATTTTTCTTATTTTTTAAGCAGGTCATTTAAAACATTTTTACGAACGTCTAAATTTTAAATTTTTATACTCACGTAAAATAATAATGTACTATCAACCGATTTTAGATATAAAATATCATAGATGACAAATCGTCTTCATTCAGAATTGTTTTTCGTGTACAATATTGCCTATCATTGCTTTCAAATTTAACACTTCTATAATAATAGTGATCCATACGGCACCTAATGTACAGTAGAGCGGTCCCACTTACCCGCTTTTTAATTTAAAATTTTAATATATTAATTTGATAAAATATTTTATAGACAAATATAATATAAATATTTGATTAATTTTAGTCGATGAATGCAAAAAAAGGTGGAAAAACATTAAAGACACTTACAACAAACATAAGCGAAACAGAAAATTGGGTACAGGATCATCAGCAAGTAATAAACCAACAAAATGGGTATTAGCTGATAGTTTGTCATTTCTTGATGTCGTTTCTTATGAACGAACGTTAGTAATATTTAATTTAATATATAATTATACATTTTCTATAAAATATATTTTTTGTTTATTTCTATTTTTTTATTAGCGGTTTGTCTAATATTGAATCCAACAAAGATGGAAATGAATGTACATCTAATAATAGTGAAGAAGAAGATAACACTATAATTGATGTTGACGATGACGTACAAAGCCAAAAGGATTTGAGTAATATAGATACAACAGTAAAAAATATTTTTGAATCAAACAAAAGGACATTGGACACAGACAAAATGCCAGTAAAAAATAAAAAAACAAAACAAAACGATGATTTAATCGAATTTCTGAAGAAAAGCAGCGACGAAAGAAAAGAAATTTTAAATAAAATTAATAATGACCAAGAAGAAGACCCAATTGATGCGTTTTTCAAGTCTATGGCATTGACCGTGAAACAGTTTTCTTCAAATTTCAAAATTAAATCCAAAAAAGAAGTTTTCAATATCATCACACAATTAGAAATAGAAAATAATAACAGTGATTCATTAACAAGGCAGAATCTACACCGACCTGCAGTAGACTACACATTTTCATCTCCGAGTTCAAGTGTTCAATCATCACAGTCGGGCTTTTCAGTGTATAATCATTCACCCACATTCATATTACCAGAAGTTCAAGATCCTAATGTTTTAACCGATGTTGTGCAAAATTGGAATCAGTTGGGAGGCCAAATCCAACATCAACCACACTTTGAATAAAAATAATACAATATTAATATTTTATTTTTAATTATTATACATCATTTTACTATTTGAACAATCCTAAAGTAAAGGTCATAAGTAAATACTACTAATCATATTTGATTCTATAAAATGTTGTTATTTTTAAATTTGTACTTGTTTCAGTTATGTATTTATTTTTAGTATTAGAATTACAGAATTCGTTTTTAATTTACCAAATAAAGTGATATCTATTACTTAGTTCAGGGTGTAAAATGTTTTTTATTGTTATGTTAATTGGGTAGGTATTCATTTATACGTTACTACCTAATAAAATATATGTACCTATTGAATATATATTAATTTTTTAATAATGAATTTTTATAAGTACCTTAATGTGATTGCCAACTTCTCAGCTGCAGTTATTGGCTCCGGAATTTTGATACTTGGACTAGTTTTGAAATCTTCTTCTATGATATTTAATATGTAATGAAATTGGTCACAACTTACCCTAAAAAATTCTCTGAATTTTTTTTCGTCACGCCATAAATGTTTCTCAATAAGAATACTAAAAAAACCTTCAGTTTTTCTGGCCAAGAACATATCGTGTGTTTTGTTTTTTTCTGCATCACATAATATGACATGTTTAATAATGGCATGTTCTTCATCTGCTTCTTGTAATAAAAGTAAATTTAACATTAATTTTTGCTTTTTTGCAAGAGATGACATATTGAAAATTATTCCACGTGTTCCACTGTCAGTTGCACGATGAACAATGATCAAGTAAAATTAGAAAATATAATTCTACAACGAAGTTTATAAAATTAAAACGCGCCGCGGAGCCGCGCGTTTCAATCGCTGACATAGGAATCTATATTCGGCCGTGCTACCGAAAATACGACAGCGCGGCTGGAATTTGAATCGCGCCGCGCTGCGTCGCGTCTACAGACGCGTGCATAGGAATCGCACCTTAACATCGTTAGATATACACATCGCATTTACGATATTTTGACGTTGCGTTATCTGAATTATTTTTGGCTCATACAGTCGTAGGACGCACCTACGAGCTCGTAGTTCGTACAATAACGTGCGGAGACGCATGTGTATCGCTGTATGCCCATATTGGTCAATTAGATATAGGTATAATGAATTGGGATTACGATAAGGCACCACGCACGTGTGTACCAATGACCGAGTACCGATCCTAAGATAATAAACAAATAACAATGATCGCATAGTTGCATGGACGCATTCGTAGTGTTTACAAATATTTTATATTTATATATTTCCGACGTTACGTAGATTTCGATACTAGGTAATATTTTTTTCTAACAGGGATGGCACTCCTCCAGTCCACCCCCTTGGATCTGCTCTTATTGTCTTATTGTACGACAGAAGTATAACAAACAATTTAGTTATGACTTATGAGTGATATCTGACTGGCAAAAATTAACCATTAAGTACTTGAGTCAAAGTAACTGAGATCCATAAAGACCAAAGGTGCCTGGAAAAAAAACCATTATTAGAGTTTATCTAGTAGGCACAGTAAGACATATATGTAGAGATGTTGAGTAATTGGCTACTTTCACAAAATTGTATTTTTTTACCACATTTTACTATTGATTTGTTTTATATTTTTATAGTAGAAATATTGTTTTGAAAATTAGGTTAAATGTAGGCTATTAGGTTCCCAATTTATTATTCCTTACAAAATGCAAATACCTTACACTATGTCTATTTACGTGTAATATAAAATAAATCGTAATATGATCGTTACGTCACATACCACACAGTCTTTTAGCGATAAGCACAACGGGCAGAAACGAAGTGTACCTGTGCCAGACTGAACTCGACGTAGGCTGTAAGCTCCAATTATGGACGTTGTTCCTGGCTAGCAAGACGGTGTACGCAGAGAGGACTCTGGTCAAGGCTCCTCCATATACTACCGGATCGGGCTGCTGGACCCCATATGGATGGTATGTGTTCTGTGACTCGTTGGGAAACGTTTACCGCGTGCAGCCGGGCGCACCGGAACCAGAGATGGTCGTGACAACAGCAGTAGATCCGATCTCGGTGAAACGTGGCAGCGGCGAAGATTTACTGACCGCGTTGGTGTGCCCCAGCAAACAGGGTTTTGTGCTGTACGTGGTCAACCAAAGTTGTCGGCTGACGGTGATATTATTATTATTTTTATAATTTATACAAGAAGGATTATTCTTCGTTAAGTGGTGTAGGGGTAATGCCTATTTAATACCGAAGACAAAAAAATAAAAATAATTTTATAGATAGGTAGGTACATTAATAATTGATAGTTTCTTAAAAGTTGTGCCGATTTTGGACTTTTTTGCCTCGTCGATGATATTTTAGTAGATATCTACCTAGTTGCAGTCGGGATCAAAACAGGTAATAGTAATTGTGGTCCTTAAGATCGTGTTTATATTTTTATCCAAATAGGACCTACACCTGCATGCGTAGGTCTCACGTCATACAAACACATGGCATGGGGAATAATAAATTGTACATTCTGAATAGTCCATTTAACTCTCTTATGTTTAATGTAAAAGAGAATTGACCTATTATCAAATTTATAAGAATAAGTGTATAGTGTAACTCATAGGTTTTGTTTTATATTTTAAATTTTAAAGCGAGTTATGAGTATTTTAAAATGAATGAACAATCAACAATTTTAGAATAGGTACTCATAACTAGCTTTAAAATTAAAATATAAAATAAAACCCATGAGATTCATTAGATAATATTCTTACTTCTGAATTTGATATGTCTTAAAACGTATAATATTATGAGTTACCTAGAATAATCAGAACGTACAATTTGGTATGTTATGAATTTGTAAGACGGAGGCAAAGCAGCTACACAAGCGGGTATAGCGTCCTCTAAATAATATTTCCAAATTTCGGGACCAAAAAATTGGGAAATTTAATATAAACAAAATAATGAAAATATATTAATCTTGTATACAAATAAAAATGGAGCATGAAAATGTCGTTATACCTCATCAATCGAAAACGGCTGGTCCGATTTGGCTCAAATTTTTTTTAAAATGTTCGAAATTGCCAGGAGAAGGTTTTTAAAGAAAATTTTAGGAAAATCCACAGGCAAAGTAGGAAATCCGGATGTAAAAAATACAACAGTGGTGCAACAGTGTATTATAATATATTGGTTGCTATTGGTTAATCGGGCATGTTTGTTGATTTGTATTATTATTTTTGTCAATATATGTTTGAATGGTTTTGTGTATATTAGACCTCTGAGAAGAAAACAGGCTAATTTAAAAATAGTTAAATTTGGTTTTTTTTATTCATCTGATATTAGTACCGTTAGGTTAGGTTAGGATTTTGTATTAATTGATTGTATTAATCCACCATAGATGGAATACGACAAACTTGGTATTACTTTGATACTTTAGAGTTAAATCATACACTTATGTACAAACAGCACGGGGTCCGCGATCTACCGCGGGTAGATTGCCTACCTGATAATATGGACGGTGCGCGGGTAAGAGGGAATAAGTCAATTTTGGCCATTTTTCGATTATTACGCCATCTAGTAGAAAAAACAATTCTACGTAGTTTTCATATCTAAAATAAAAGTAATGTTGGATATTTCTTATATTTCTTTCTGTTGGAAAAATTTGATTCTTTTAAAATCGAAACTGATGACGTTTACTGTGAAAAAATGGTTGTATCAATTGGAATCTCCATCTAAACAGTTAGAAGAAATGGAAAAAGAACATGATATTATACTAAATGAATCATACATACTAAAAGTCCATGAACCAGTTCAAAATAATAGTATAGTACAAATCAGTTCAGAGGTAAGACATTTTTAAAAGTGTTCATAAAATTAGTTATTATATTAATATAAGGTTTAACAGGACTATTTATCAAATGCTGAAATGCCCATTACAAACGTTGCTGTATTTATCAAATAGTCCTGTTACACCCTGTATTTTTTAAAATGTAGTTATTAGGTTAGGTTAGGTATAACAAACAACATTGAATATAATCAACAAAATAAATTTGTGTTTAGCATTAAAAATGCAGTATAGTAATTCATGTTACATAAAAATACAAAACACATAAGTAAAATACTTGCTACATTTTAATATTTATAGTAATATAAAAATAATTAAATTTATTTTGTTAATATTATGAAACAAAAAAAAAACTTGAAGCTTTCCTAGTTCTTTTAATTTATAAATAATACTTCTTAATCCATTTTTAATTGTTAACAAGTACCATGGTTTCAATATATTATTTTACTTTATGTGTAGATGTAACTTACATAATATTCATTCTTATTAGTAAAAATAATAACAACAATTTATTATTTTTAACTTTGTGTTATAGAATCATGATGAAGATCTTAATGATGAGAATATTGATGATGAGGATCTTGATCCAACTTATGTTCCACTTAACCATGGTGTAACTGATACCAATTATTTGAACTTAGATTGTATCCATGAAATCGAAAATCTAGAAACTGCTAGCTTACAAAGTAAACTTGATTCAGTTGTGGCTTATGTTGAAAATGTTGATATTAGAAATCAACAGCCAAAAAAATCAAGATTAATTAGAGCCGAAAGGAAATTAAAGAGAAATTCAGGTAAGTCATATGTCACGGAAAGTGGAAAAGAAGTACCTGAAAGAAAATTAGTACAGTTGGGCAATTGTCGTTTAAAATGTGCAGAAAAAATTTAGTCTAGAACATATGCAATGTTTGTTTGGCAAATATTGGCAATTGCAAGATAGAAATAGAAGAACTACATATTTATCATGACTAATAACTTTTCAACCAAAAAAGGCTGAAAGAAAGAGAAGGTCTACCTCAGAAAAACAAAAAAAAGAGCAATGACTTATAATTACCAAATACCATTGAGTAATGGATTAATTAAAGTATGTACCTAAAGCTTGTTTTTTAAAAATATTTGGAGAAACTATGAAGTTTATTTGGACAATCTGTCAACAAAAAGTGATTGCTGGTGTGAACAAAATTACTCCAGACAAAAGAGGTATGCATCCACCGTCAAATAAAAAAACACCAAAAGACATGAAATTAGTAAAATATAATCTGAAGTCCTGTAACGAAACGCAATTGGTTGACAATAATTTGTTTTTATTGATATAATATATTTTGAACCAATATGCTCATTATCTCAATGTGGTACAAGAAACATGTTTTATATAACATTATTTTCTTTTATATAGATTTTAATTATACTCCTCAGAGTTTATAATAAAAATAGTTAACGGGATTACATAAAGGGGTGGGAATATGAATATTTAAACTCATGGTTTGGTGGAAATGGTATTGTGTAATAGGCTCAGCTCGGGCGGTGGCGTGTTTACACAATATTCGTGATAGAGGCGCAGTGATCCCTTCTAGGTGATCTACTGGTGTATACGACTTATGGGCTATGGCTTTGAATTGTTGGATGACAGCAATTGGCACGGCTCGGGTGGCGGCTTGGCGGGAAACAACGGTTGTGGGTGACGTCCGGACTGCAAATGACTGTCTCTGGAACGCAAAATGACGACAGCGACTGGCTCGGCTCTGGTGGCGTCGTGTTGTGTGGTATGTAAAGCTGCAGGGTGTCCGTAGTACAGTGTGACGACACGTACTTTTACGGCGCACGATGGAGAGACTAGGAATGCCGGTACAGACTATATACACATCCGTGTATAAGGATTGGTGTGCTCGTCCGGCTTGTGCAGTCTGGGGCAGGTGCTGGTGTGTGTATAGCAATCAGTGTCCGTGTATAACGAGTTTGTTAGACTCGTCCGGCTCACTGATGTGCTATACTCAGCGGCATGGGCGTTCTCACGGGGGGGATATGGGGGATAGATCCCCCCCGAAGGTTCTTTATTTTTTTACATATTAGTAATACACATTTTGTCTACTTTTGATATGTGTTTGTGTTTTCAATATTGACTTGGTAGTTATTATTTTTTTTTTTTTTGCAATTTTTCTTTATCGTGATTACTGATTCCACCAGCCATAAACAATATTATTATTTATCACTGATAATTATAACATGTAACAGGCAATTCGCTTTACAATTGATTTGTACTGTATTTTTGTAAACAATCACTCCGTCAACTTCATAAATTCCCAGCGTCAGAAAAAATGTAAAGGTAAGATACACAATGATAACACCACAGTGATAAAATAAAATAAATAATTTAAACCAGGGATGGAAAACGTTTTTAAAAAACGTTAGTAAACGGAAAAAAAAAACTAAAACAATGAATAAAACAAAAACAAAAAACCATAACAAAAAATCCCAAAAACAGAAAAAAAATTAATTACGAAATCAAAAACGAAAACGCAAATAAATTATAGTATTATACATTATTATATTAATTACACGAAAAAAAAATGTTACCTAAGTATTTACTTTTTAATCTTTACCAACAATGCTCTATTAAAATTTAAAAACATTTTTATTTGAAATCAAGAATAATTAATTTTAATTTTTAACTCTTAAGTGCATTTCTAAATTGCTAAATTTACTACTATAAAAAAAAAACAATATTATCAAAAACAATATAGAAAAATAACGTTTTTAAAAACGTTAAACAAAAACGAAAAAATTAAAAACATTTTCCATTCCTGATTTTAACTGATTCATAACATTCTTTTATAGTTCAAATAAAAAGAACAATAAATATGACTTGAATTGATTATTTGATATTATCAACTATATTACTATCAATATTATTAGATTCTGAGCGGAGTGAGGGATCTATTGGTTTTTCAATATTGTTTATATTTATTTTTTATTTTATCCTGCATACAAAATTTCTACCAGAAGCAGTTCTTCTCTTTTAACATATAGTATATCTTTTCTTTTAGCAAATTTTATCAAGATGGTACTTTAGAGAGGTAATTTTTCAATTTTCTCAATATTTATTTAATGACACATTACAATGTCACCGACAAATTTCAAAAACCGCTAAAAATGTGATTTCAATTTCTAACACTTAATTTATCACCATTGTAACAAATAAAATAAAAATAATGATTTTAGTTATTTTATCGTAATTTATAATATTAATTCAACTTACAGGCTATAATAAAATATAATTACAATATAAAATATCCAGACTGACAAACCGTGAGCAGTCTGCTCAGAATCGTTTTTCGTATACAATGATATGATATCATTGAATTCAAATTTAATACAATCCATTATACAGTGACCAACTATTGTAATCTACTGTACAGCAGAGCGACATCCACTTACCCGTTTTTTTAATATTCATTATTATAATATGCGAGTTGTGAGGCAAAACCCTTAGGTACGGCTTATTTTGAAACCATTTTTTTCATCCCCCTCCATTGAAATATCCTGAGAACGCCTCTGCTCAGCGGGGAGATGGGTGATTTGATGGTGTTTTCTGGGTGGTATATATAATACTCGGGCCCTTTTCTTGATGAGTAAAACGTATGAAATGTTTTTAGTAATTTAGGTGTTTTCCGTACAACTTAAAACCCATGCAAAATGTGAATTGCATCGTTCACAATCTGCTGATTTTAATGGTATCTTCCAAAGGGTTTTAAGTTACGGGGTTTTCGTCGGAAAATGATTTTTTTACTCGGGCGGCGTGCCGGCGAAATAGAAGTTGTGGTGTTAGCGCGTTCTAGTAAGCGCCGTGAACGACTGGTTTGTGTGTTCCGCGTATAATCACTGCGCGAGAGCGCGTCGCGGTAGTCGGTATGAGATCAGTGACTACTGGTGACGAGAGTGCGCCACGGGAACGCCCGTTCGGTTTTGTCTCGTTACAGTCCCTACCTGTTTATGAAAGTCATTACTGCAGAAAAGAATCATCAAAGTTATACTTGCCTTCTCATTATACTTTGAATAAATGCTATGAAATGTATTCAAAGGATCTTATTAATCCTGTCAGTAGGAAAATATATGAGAAAATGTTTCATGAAGCTAATATAAACATAAAAGGAACTAAAAAAAGATACTTGTAATAAGTGTGATGTTTTAAAAATGCAGATACAAATGCAAACTGATGGTCCTGAAAAGATAATATTATTAAAAGAACATGAAGAACACCATCAAATGGCGGAAATGGCATATACAACAAAAAAATTAGATAAAGCAAGCATGGAGACAGAACATAATAAATTAGTGCTATCATTTGATCTGCAGCAGTGCTTACCAACTCCATGTTTACATAATTCAATTGCCTTTTATAAATGTCACCTATGGACTTATAATCTTACCATACACAACATGAAAACTGACCAAGCCACCTGATATATATGGAATGAATCTATGGCAAAAAGGGGGGCTAGTGAAATATCATCTTCTGTTTATGATTATTTAATGAATTTACCTACTCAAATAACATATGTTTATCTCTATAGTGATTCATGTCCTGGCCAAAACAAAAACAGCATATTTTTGGCTATGTGCCTGTATGTTTTGCAAAAATCACCTTCTCTTGATGTCATAGAACATACATTTTTAGTACCCGGGCACACCCGAATGGAGTGTGATTCTGATCATGACCAAATTGAGAAAAAAAAATGTTTATGATGCACCAATTTATCACCCTCATAACAGGGCACAACTCATAAGATTAACCGGTAAAAAGTTACCATTCAAAGTTGTAGAACTCAAAACTAAATATATATATGTGATTTTGCAAGTATTTTAAAAACATCAGTTACAGGTATACAGATGAAAAAAAAAATAAAGATGGGTACCAAATAAAGTGGAAATATATAAAATGGTTCAAATATGAGAAAACAATACCAATGGCAGTTCTATACAAAAATTCACTTGAACTAGATGATGAGTTTTGTTGCTTCATAGACATGATAAAGCGTGGGAAGTGTGAAGCAAACCTAACAGAATATGAAGTTCTTATATGTTATTCTAAACCAAATGCTATTTCTAAAGAGAAAAAAAAAATATTTACTCTCTTTATTGAAGTTTATACAAGATTTATACCATGATTTTTATAAAAACCTTATTTTTGCAAATAATAATGAAGATCCATTGTCTCTGGAAGAAGGCGAAGGAGAATAAATTAACTTAATACATACATTTATTGTATTTAAAAAATAACAATTAATAAACACATTATTTCCTTTAAATATTCAGGAGAATGTTGATTTCACAATTCTGGCATCCCTAGAATCTTGATATATTATTTACCAACATTCATATATTGAACATTCACACCAAGGATAGAACGATTTAATTGTAACCCATAACTGGTCACCTGTAAATAACTACAAAGACAATCACATCGAGTCACACTGACCTGTAATTTGAATTCCTTGAGATTACTAAGTAACTTAATTATGGTATTTACCAAATTTCAGACCAAATTTATCAAAAATGATGTGCATATTCATCTTGTTTAATTTTAAAATCCATGTTCGATTTCAAATTATGTAATACAAATGGGTTGAAAATGTTATGCCATTTTTCCGTTCAGGTATTTTTATAGAATAATTTTGATTTGTTGATATCCGCACGAATAATACCATAGTAATGATCGTCAGAAATAATATCATTATGATAGTAAAAGTCATCAAAATCTTTATAGTCAACATTTTCGAGATTTATTCTTATTAATTTGAAACGTGTCTTATATTCTTTAAAAACTGCTTCAGAGAAATCGATATCAGTGTCTTTCTTAGGTATCAAGGTAAATGGTGCACCAAATCTACATTCTTGCTTTTTATTAGGATTCATTTTTTTGTAACACGTAAACGTGTGTTTGTGCGTTACTAGTTTAATATTTCCAGAAGTCTCTGACGATGAAACAGAAACTAATTCATCAATTAATTGAATTACTTCAGGATCATTGCTTAATAAATCTTCAGGATTATTGTTTACCCAAAGTAAAATATGATCGCGAGGACTCCCACGGTGCTGAAATTCTATTCTGATGAAATAATGAATTACTCTATATTTTCCGAATGGACTCCTTTTCTTCGATCGCAAAACTTACATCAAGGAATTCACTAATTTATAAAAGTAAATTGCACAAGTGACAGCTTCTTCATTCACAAGTTATGCTTTGTGCACATAACTCATATCTTCTAAAAACTCATCCGAAATATCCGCTCCTTCGTTTTTAAATTAATACGATAATTTCCACAAATCTTTTCAGCCAGTTTCATTAGCTCTTAGAGCCAGGCCCGTACTGGCTATCTCTAAGGGGCGAGGGAAAAAATAAATTTATAGGGCGCCAACTATATTTTTATATATCCACTACTAAATTTAAAAAAAATGGTGTCTACCCATGTATGTTTTATTTACAAACTACCTGTAGAATATGTGAAACACAACTATCAGTTCACATATTTTAACCAACGCATTAGATGATAAACCATTTTTTCTTATACCATCAAATCTTTGAGGATCGATACATTCTAAATCTGTATATAAAATCTGATGAGATAAAAATCGTACATCTAAACTATTTATAATAGTATCTATTTAATAATTAATAGTATATTGTGTGGCAAGGGCGGGAAATGAGCTATTTCGCCCAAGACAATTGCCAAATGCCCAAAACGCCAATTGCCTTCCCGCACGAGCCACACATACTATTTTTTTTTCACTCCTCTGCATTCATCGATCACGGTGAAGGTAATACAAGGATCTATGCAACAACTAGAACATAATTCTACGACGATATTTCATGAAAGAAACGATTTGGTTTTATTTATTTTAAGAGTCACGCATGGAGGTCTTATATGAATATAAGATGTAACCAAAAATTAATGTTTTGTAAGGACCGTGGTATAGATTTCCGTGTCTTTTTGTGCAAGCGATATGCGCGTGATATATGCGCCCAGTACTTATGGTGATTTCCACTTTACCGCACACTGGACGGAAAATGGACGTTTTCCAACGTTTTAACCTCTATCGAAAACCAAACTTTCGGTGAAGGCGTGATACAAATATTTGTATACGAAATTGATCAATTTCTTCTGTGTGAATTTCTTTATCACGAGTTAATTCAAACAACTTTGAGTTTGTGTTTTTCGAAAGTTTTTCTTCAATTTCAATATCACTAAGCTTCTTTTTATCAATTGTTTTAACTGCAAAGTCAACAAATGCCTTCCTAACATACCTTATTAGACGCGTGTCCTGTAGAAAAATCAAAATAAAAACAAGAATCAATATACACACACACTCGTCTTACATCGATTACGGTATTCTAATTTCACAAGTCACCTCTATAGATCTATAGTAAGTTAACAATGTCATAAATGATATTAAAACAATAATTTACATAAAATATGTAGCTAATACCTATGCATAATAATTACAAAACTTAACATTTATATAATATAACACCCATATAATATTATTAAATAGGAACACTCTAATATTATAGAGTAAATATATATAATAATGATATAAATAATTGGAGAGGGGCGCTTATTTATCAATTGATTATGGGAAGCACCGAGAAAATTCTCGGTGTCCCGGTGGATCAGTACGGGCCTGCTTAGAGTCATAAAAGCAGTCAGTGCTCCTAACTAATCATTGCAAAATGATCTTTTTTGCGATTTGTCCAAAACCAAGCAGAGTTTGGTATACAGCGAAGAAATGCAAGATTTGTTTCTAAACAATAATTTATGTAACCTTCAGATTGAATGGTCTCTTTCGTAATTGAAGTACCTTGGCCAATATGCTTAAACGCAACGCTGACATATTTACTAACTCGTAGCCTCGTGATTTTAGCAGCGATGTATAAAATGTGTTGTTTGTCAGTAGCACGCCTATCAGTAAGCCGAAGTTCACTGGTAGCTTGCATGAATGGAGTAACAGTGACACTATCCCTGTATATTCGAAACTTATCTTCATAGATTGTTGGAAAAGATAGTTCTTCTGCATGTTTGTCCATCAGAATACTGACTGGCCTTTTATATTCACCTGGTGCTATACTTAAAAAATAATCATCATTCCACAAAAGAGTTGGTTGCTGCGCTGTTAAATTATCTTCAATAAGAACATTTTCACTTATTTCATCCATGATTAATTGTGAAGTACTTTCATTGCCAATCAAAATTAAGCATCGATTTTAATATCATGATAAACATAAAGAGGCGTAGTTACTAAATACGAAAACCACTCTTTAATATGTCTCTATTAATGATTTCGTGGACATAACTGGTTTTGTGAATTAATTTCTTTTTCAAAATAATGCACATAAAAGCAATGATCATCTTAAATGTTTCTTGGAAATTGTTTTTCCAATGTATTAATTAACTTCGACAAGAATTTTAATATTTTGGCCGAAAATACCGTACTGGCCATTAACGTGTGGCTTAGTCTACGTATTTGCATGAACGATGTTCTAGGAGAAATCAATCGTTGCTCGATAAGGTTTAATCTTGGTAAATGAGATGGCATTTGGGGATATGGATAATCATTGTAAGGTTGACATGAGAGGAATTTTTCCTTTGTCCAATAACGTATAACATGCGGTACAAACTTGAACAGTTTCATCAGGGGTGTGATTCTAAAAAAATAAAATTCTTATTAGCAAGATATAAAACGAAAAATATAAAATGAATAATTGAAAAATAAACTATATAATTGTGATTACCTGCAGTATTGTTTGCAAAATACTCCCATGTTTATTAGTCAACATTTTCAAGTCCGCCATAGTCTATCGCGAATGATGCACGAATGACCAAAATAATTTATTTATTTATTTTTATTTATTTATTTCAGCAAAATCAATATCATTATTTCAATAAAATAATACAATAGTCAAATTACAAAAGTTAAATTACTACAATAATAGTGATAAGAGCTGATACGTATACCAACTGAGCAAGCTCGTTTCTGGTATACGGAGTTCCTACACATATTACCTATATAATATAATAAAATAAAATAAAATGTGTGTTATACAATTGAGAATGGTGTATTTTACTTCTCTAAATAACATTATCTTATAATTATATAGCGAAACAATACTAATAGATAATCATTTATATTTACACATAGATACTTTTTAATAATTGATTTTTACACACATTCTCAATTATAAGTTAAGTCTTTATAAAAATCAAGATGACTTCTAAATTGGAATAGTACCATCAACAATAGAATCCATAGTATTTTGATCAATACAATCTTCTATATCAATCGCCATTTCGTTTTCATGATTTTCAAGATTGCCTTCGATGATGCAATCTTCGTCGTAATCGTCACGCAATAGTTGAATATTGTCATCAACATTGACTTCATTTCGGTGAATATTTTCGTTGTTCTCCAATATCTCTTGTACTTCGAAGTAAGTCGTTAAGTGCAGAGCACGAAGGCTCAGATGAATATAATTATGTGTGTTATTTCCTTTAAAATGACAAAACCGAGTGTCTTAATTTTTTGCAATTACGTTGAAATAGTTGTATTACACACAGATATTTGTAATGTACATTATTGAAAATAAGTATAAACAATCCAAAACGCCATAATCATTTTTACTTGAGAGTACGTTATATGCTTCCTACGGATTGTAACAGGAGTTAAAATAGGATGACTCACGTAACTGTCTTCTCAAATCACAAGTCGAAATTTGAAGTTTCAGAACACACATGGGTAAGTGGAATAGACAGTTACCATCGCCTGGAATCTCTGTTTTCCTGCATAGAATGACTTCGGGAGTAATGCATTCGCGAACCTCTTCATATATACAAAGTTGTTATGTGAAAAATTGATTTTGTTTAAGTTGTACATTTTCAATAGCACTGCATTGCATGATATTCTCTTGGTCTTCATTACTGTCCAATTTTTGTCTTTCCCTGCAAACAAAATGAGGAAATAACGTATAATAAAATATTGAGTCATATATTATAATATTGGGTTGTAAAATATTAAATTAAATTACACTTGTATCATCCAATTTTTTTTTTTGTGCCAATTCTTCTACATTACGTGGACGGAATTCTCCTTGACAATCAGTATCTGATTTTGGTTCTTTTTTTTTTTGATTTTCTTTCAAATCTTTTTGACGTTGAAGATATGCCCTTTGATACTTACGATTTCTTTTTTTTCTTCTCTTCGATAATAAAGAAGGAATTATAAAATAAAGTAAAATTTTGAGTCATATAATAAAATTTTGGTTTTTAAATATATTATTAAACATATAATTTATAATATTTACTTTGGTAGCCAAAACCACTAACGTCTTACTCCAAAGGCCCCCGAGATGAGACCTCTTCCTCGTCTCTTATATATACTAGCTGATCCCGTGCACTTCGTTACCCGTTAAATGTATCAACTCTATAATATGACTCAAACTATGTACAATTTGTTATTTAATATTTGGTGTATGGTGTTCAACATTTATCTTAACTTTCTGTGGCCTGGAATAAAAATTCTGATTCGCAGCAGTATATTATCAGTTAAGCAATCTACCTGCGGGAGATCGCGAACCGCGTGCTGTTTGTACGTAACTGTATGGTTTAACTCTTAAGTATCAAAGTTATACCACGTTTGTCGTTTTTCTTAATTCCACCTACGGTTAATATAATCAATTAATACAAAATCCTAACCAAACCTAACCGTACTAAAATCCGATGAATAAAAAAAACAAATTTAACCCTTTTAAAATTAGCCTATCTTCTTCCAAGAGTTCAAATCTACACACAAACATTCTTTTATATATTATATATGTATATTGACAAAAAAATAAAAATAATAATAAATATCAACAAACATGCCTCATTTACCAATAGAAACCAATATAATACACTATTATTATTTTAATCTGCAACAATAAACTAATTTTTTATTATTTAGTTTATTTTTTTTCTGGACAGATGACGCAGATGTTGTATTTTTGACATCCAGATTTCCTACTTTTCCTAAAAATTTCTTTCGTATAAACCTTCTCTGTGATATACTCTTTAGTTTAAAAAAAATCAAGTAGATCTGATAAGTAGTTCCAAATTTTACCCTATAGAGAAATTTTCATTTCACATTTATATAATGAACCATATATTTAAAACCTACACCCTACATGTGCGTATTGTAATATCATACAAATATAAGTTAGTGTTATAAAGTATATACATATTTCAAATAATGTGTAGGCATATATTATGTATTTTTATAAAGTAACTCATTTTCTTTCACTATTTCTTCATTAAAAGTTGCACTACCTTTAATTTCCTTATTGTTCCGAAAAGAAAGTGATTATTGAGTGGACTGTATTTTTAAGGAGAATTGGCCTGGGTGGGTCTTGCTACGGTGTAGTTGGGTAGGAATATCTAAGCCGTGCAAGTATGCCCCGGGTGGGTCTTGCTACAGAATATCTATGTAAAAAACTGAGATGATTTTGTGCTCCGCACTCGTATTTATAAGCCTTATCTCGCTCGCTGCGGTGCTACGTAATCACAGGAGCCGCCCATGATTGTCTGTGATTGGTTATTGCGCATGGTCGCACGGTGGCGATATCGCTGGTTGCCCTCGACATTGGCTGCTGCTGCTGCTCTCGAAGCCACGTCCACAATGTTCAGTCGTCGTAGGTCTGTACGTGAAGTGGGCGATCCCGTGTTCTGTGAGTGTCTAGTTCGCGGACTAAGATTCAAAATGTGAAGCCAAATAAAGCCATCGGTAGCACTGAAAACATTAAGAAAATAGTATTCTTATCTATAATGATACCTTTTTGTAGCCACCCCCGACCCCTCGCTGACCATGTCGTTTCCAGTTCATTATATCTTAGTCCGTGGCTCTTACTCGCCCAAAATTGTTTTTGCTATGTTTTACATTTATATTATTTCGATGTTTTTTGGTTTTTAGTTTATTGATTTAAATTTTTTTTTCGTTATAAAGTTATAAATATTACATAAAACCAGATGGTACACTTCTTGTTTATGCCATTTTCTTTTAAAACTTTTTATTTTGTACTTGTTTGACCAATTTTTAAATATGGCTCAGACACTCAGTGCTCTGGAATTCCCATACTGCAGAGACCTGTAAACAATTAGATAGAGATAAAGAATTAAAATTTTCAAATTTCTTAAGGGGATTCGATACCGTGATTTTCTGTTTTTGTCTAACACAAGGGTGACATAGTTTTTTAGACGTGTTTTTTGCCAAACATTCCAATTGATCTATTGAAGCGATAAGATTTCTGAAAACAGATTTGAATTTGTCGTCAAGTCTACTTGAAATCGACTTTCCCACATTTTTGATTTTTTGATTTTAACTTCTCCAATAATTGAAATACCAGAATTTTTAAATACTCTTTTTGAATATGACATTTTAAAAAATTTGGGGGATAATATCAAAAATGTGGGAAAGTCGTTTTCAAGTAGACTTGACGACAAATTCAAATCAGTTTTCAGAATTCTTATCGCTTCATGAGATCAATTGGTATGTTTGGCAAAAAACACGTCTAAAATACTATGTCGAGCGTGTGTTAGACAAAAACAGAAAAATCACGGTATCTAATCCTCTTAAGAGGAAGTCTTCCCCGTATATGTTGTCTCTTTCTTACACGCGTACGACATCCCAAATTTTCGTTCACCAGTTTCAATAGTGTCCTCTTAGTTTTGATATTAGGGTGAATTGACCTTATACCAAACTTAAAGGTAAGAATATTATCTATATTCTCTCGTTGGTTTTATAAGATATTTTTCCTTTTAAATGAGTTATGAGTATGTAAAATATAATTGTTTAAAAATGTTCAAAATTCACTTAAAATTAGAATATTGTAAAAAAACCAACGAGATAACACAGATAATGTTCTTACCTTAAAGTTTGATAATAGGTCAATTATTCGCTCTAATATCAAAACTAACAGCACACTATTGACACTAGTGAACGAAAATTTGCTAAGTCGTAGTTTATGAGACGGAAAGAACATATGCGGATGCGACATCCTTTTAAATATGCATATTTTCTTCCAAATTGAACGGCTATAACTATGAGACCCTTCTTTCATTCAGTAGTCTTAGCTGACCTCAAATTAGAGGATAATGTTGACTTTCTGCAGAAACTTCTCCAACAAAATTGATTGTCAATACTTTCCATGCTTTATTTTAAAATTCCATTTCGGATTACCTACCCGTTGAATTAAAATATATTTACTTCCTTTCCACCCTACTAAATACGTACTTAATGAATCTTTATGAGTACCCTTTTATGTCTACTGAAAATACCAACCCTTCTCCCTTTTCTATTTAAAAAAACTATTTTCTTTTCTATTTAATTTAACAGCATTGTATACTGTATTTACTTGATTTGCTATTATTTATTTTATGTAAAATTGTTTATTATTGGAAGTGATATGATATCTTTTTGAAATACACGGGTGAAGGACTAAATTTAAAAAAAATAAAATAAACGGCATTTGTTGAAATCATCTAATAATATATACCAAAGTACCAAATTTATACTATGATGTGTTAAATCCACAGTGTTTCAAAGACACCAGAGGTATTTTTACTAAACTATGGACTATGGTCTTCAACTACACATTGCAGTGTATTGTAGCTGTAAAAAATGGCGTGTACGGCTGGTCGAACGAGGTAAAATAATAAAATAATACCACCACATATGTACTTACCTAAACAATGTCGATAAATACACTAAATTTATGTTCTTCTCCCCATCTCCTAGGGATCATTATTGCAAATAACACAGAAAAAACTGAAAATAATTAAAGTGTATGGATCAAAAATCAAGCATTTTACGTTCATAAAACCTACAAATGAAACTGTGGCTACTATTAACGATAAAAATATTTTGCAAGTATGGAATGTGTTGACCGGAAAAATTGTAAACATTTTTAACATATAAATTAAAGTAGAGTATTCTTCTATTATTTTTTGCTGTCTTATAGAAATGCAAGATGGTTCTAAACGGGATTGCAACGTATTTGTGTAGTAATCCGTTTTACCACTATATTTGCATTACGTTTAAAAATGGCAAAATGGAATTGCTGAAGACTGATCCCAAAATAAACGAAATAGAGTGCATTACAAAAATAGTGCTATGTGATGAAGACTTATCTTCTGTAAAATTTTTCTCTGATGGAAACACTTGTAACGTCACTAGTTTTCCCACTGGCCGATTTTTTTATATAAGTGTAAGTAAATATAAATTAATAGGTACAATAAGTATTTACATTTAATATTATAACTCTATCATATTTAATGAATAAATTACCTTCTTACTGACTGTTCATTGTATACACCTAAATAAAACAAATATTTTTGTATTTAAGTGCATTCAATAGGTAGTTAATGTTTCGTGAAATCATAGTAGGTATACTCTGCGCTAGGAGAAAACATTACCGTGACCCGACCAAAACTCGTCCAAATCTGCGCATTCCCCACTCAAGTTGTTAATTTTCAGCAACACTTGATGCTATAATTTATACAAAGTAGTAATAATATGTCAATCGAAATTACAACTATCGCCATCACTATCGACCAGTAAGTGGAAGCCATTGAAATACTTGACATTTTTTCGCCAAATTTAAATTACTCATACCTTATGCTGGTCAATAATGATGGCGATAGTTGTGTTTTCGATAGTTTTACCATGTATTAAAACTAGTATTAATTACTATTTACCTTGAATTTATATATAATCAACATCTATCGGCACGGCACAAAGTGGGGGAAATTATACCTCGGTCCGGTCACTGCCGTCAGTCCAGGCGCAGAGTATAGAATAAAAATCAAAAATATAATTAATTAAACATTTTTTTTAGATTAAATTGGGGCAGACATGTTCAGTGGTTAGAGAACATCAATTAGGAAAGCACGTTATTGATATTGATATAATCGACCATAAACAATTGTCGTTTTTAACAGTATTATATACAGATCAGAAAAATTCTGAAAATGCTGGAAATAATATTATAATATTTGATTCAAACTTCAAAGTGATTTTTAAGTTAAAAGATACACAATATTATTACATATCGGTATTTAAATGGAGTCCGTGTAACATACCCGATGCGATAAACATAGCATTTTCTGTCTTGTTGTCAAATGTTATTCACTTGATGACAATAAATATCATAAAGGTATGTAAGATTAACTACATAATTATTATTATTGTTATTAACCTCAAATTACGTTTTTCGTTAAGAAAAAAGTGTTGGAATTACAAACTATTCCATTAGATCGCCAATTAAGAAGTATTAAAACATATACATGGGAAAATCATTGTATTATATTTAGTCCTAATGGCTCGTATAGCCTTTATGAATTAGATGATGATGGGCACTGGAAAAAAATTGTTATAGTAAACTGTAATCATTGGCTGTTTGGATTGATAGCGGCTGAAATTGATGAAAATATCCGTAACATACTAACACTAAGTGATCAAGGAAACTTCATGTGTACAAAATTAAAGTAAATTTTTCTATGGAAATAATTAAATAATAATATTTTGATTTTTTACTAATATAATCTTGATAAAAATATCGGATTTCAGAGACATTTTTCACCGGAATAGACGGATTAATAAAGTCAATACTCCAAATATTGTTGAAAATTTTAAAACGGAAGGGATTGGTTTTGATGATGGACTTGAACGTTAGTTTTTTTATTATTTTTTTATATTTTTTAATTTTTTGGAACTGTAGAAAAAAAAATTAAGCAAATAAATAACTGCTTATGCTATTTCAAAACTCCAAAATTGTTTTCAGCTCAAAAACGTATGACTTGGTCAATGATTAATAAACAAGAGCAGTTAAATGCAAGTAAAGATGCATACAGTAACCAAAAATATAAAATAATTCAAGATTTTGAAAAAATTAAAGCAAAAGTAAAAAAAAAAAAATAGAATCATTAAGTTTGAATAGCATTTAATTTCACTTCATCCATTCGTGACCAAGGTTGTAAATATTTTAAAATTTTGATTTGAATTTGTTTTTATTTTTTAATACCTACTTTCTAACGCATGACCGGATTTTAATGGTTTTTGGCCACTATTCTATGCAACAACATTCCTATTAACCTACCTATAACAAATTAACAAATTTTAATTTCTTCTCATTAATATTTGTATCTCCAAGTTTTCTCAGAATTATAATTTGGGGACTTTTTCTATGTTGATAACAAAGAAAATGTAAAATATTGATAATATGGCATAAATCAGTAGGTAACACTAAGTAGCACAAGTAGCAGTATGGCAAATTGAAGCTTAGAATTAAATATTTGGGTGAAATATAATAATGTAGATAAAGTATGAGATGAGTTTTTAAAAATGTCCAAAATATCTAATGAATTTAAAATTATTCAATGTTTCTTTTTCCACAGACATCAATAGAAAAGCTTCTAAGCCATCATTAGATAATGAAACACGTAGATAATAATCAACTTGAGTAATGGATAAGGCTAATACATTCCATGGCTATTGGCCGCTTACAAATTAGAATAGGGTGTAGGCATATGCGAATTAGGAAAGCGAATGAAACAAATCAAAAAACCACGTTCAGATTTAAAAAAAAATTGTTCATATAAATATCTTGAACCAGGGCCGGCGCTAGGTTTTGCGAGGCCCTAGGCAAAATATTGAAAAAATTGTTCACATATTATATGATTTTTGTTGCTGATGTTACCCATTTTTTTTTTTTTTTGCTTATCACTATACCTACAATGTAATATTATAACCATGTAATTAATATATGAATTTTATTTTTTTAATATAATATAATTGGATTAATACATATATAAAATAATACCAATTTGTCATTAACTTAAAATTATATTTAATACAAACGTCATAATTTGAAAAATTAAATTGTGTTACTTAAAATTAACTTTTCTGCTCTTTTGGGCTGCAAAATGTTCAATAATGGTATCGTAATTCACACTTTCGGCTAATTCCTTTTCAATAGCTAAAGTTGCCAGACCACTTAAGCGGTCTTGTGACATTGTACTTCTGAGGTAGTTTTTAATGAGCTTAAGTTTTGAGAAGCTTCGCTCAGGTCCCGCCGAAGTAATGAGAATTGTGAGCATAATTCTAATAGCCACACTTAGGTTTGGAAAAGCTCCATTAAATTTTTTTAGTGTACCCAGTGCTTGCAACGGTGTTTCAGATTCATTCACAAAATTTCGGCAAATCATGAGTTCGTCAAATAAATCACAGTCAGAAATATCTTTTTCATCGCCTGATTTTAAAAACATTGCAAGATCCTTACAATTCTTTCTAATATCCTCTTGTAGACGTTCGAAGTTTTCCAATTTTATGTAAAAATCCAAAAATTTTATTATAATATGATGTTTGGTCAAATCTTTTTTTTATAGACTGAATTGCATTATCCATTAATTCTAAGAAGTATGAACATCTAAAATCATTCTCTGGATCTGTTGTACAATTTGTATTACCTTCATATTCAAATAATCTTTTTTTTTCGATATCGTGGAACTTTAAATTCTGTTTCAATCTCCAAAGACTCAGCAAGCTGTTTTGCTTCAAGTTTAGCTTGATTAAATCCCGTTTATCTGTACTCACCCATAAACTTAATAAGAGCATTGAGTAATGTTGCATATACATCTAAGTTGATATTTGGACCTTGTATACTTTTACTAACAATATTCACTTCCTTCAGTACAGTGAAGTAAGTGAACTTCGAGCGCTCGCTTTTTTTAAATCAAATACTTATAAAATAAATAAATAAAATATTAAGGCGGCTCTAAGTAAGCAATTTCTAATCTTGTCATTGCCGATCGTAATTTTTGTGTTAGTGATAAATAATAAATGATTAATATTAATAATCATTAGTGTGAAAAAAAACCTTTTGCTCTATCATTCTATAACAATAGATTTCATATCGCTCCGATGCGGGCAGACGGGACGACGATAGGCTATAGCACACGTTAGCGCATGTACAATTCATCAAAAACACGCTCAAAAATATTATTGTACATACGCGACAATGAATAATGGTAATTAGAAAAATAATATACTTCTACAGTAGAACAATATTTTATTTTGAATTTATCATGAAAATAACGGTAAAAAAAAAAGTTGGAATAAAATATTTACAGATGTATAATGACTGTAATAAAATTAAATATCTATAGGTATCTATAATCTGTTATAAATTATAATGTAATATAATGCTACTTACATATTGTAGGTTTTTAAAAGCGATGACCCTGCCTGCTGACAGTAGTTGAATACATCAAAAGAAAATGGAATAGTTATCGGGTATTTTTGATTCACTCGTGTATTCATCGTTTAAGGCAAACATTGTGAAAAACCCATGATTATTAAACAATTTGAGATTATCCCTTATCAAGATTAATATATACTATTATTATACGTCTTGTAATTTTTATTTAGTTGTAAATAGTTTAGAAATTCATGAAAGGACAGGACATAAATATAAATTATAATAATAACAAAACTAATATATTCATCGCTCCGCTCAGAATATAAAAATTAAAAACACAAGGAATAAAGCGCGGGGCCTCAAAAAGCGCGAGGCCCTAGGTGGGTGCCCAGTTTGCCCCCCTCCTTCCGCCGGCCCTGTCTTGAACTCAAATAAAGCATACCTATATAATAATTTTTGGTAGTTTAATTTGGTTAAAATGTATAGTTTATAAGCAATTATAATTTATTTTACGTAAATCTGTTTTTGGGCTGGGAACAGATATTTGATATTTTATTTATCCAACCGATTTTTTCTACCGCTTAGTTTATAACCATATAAACGAATACAATTTAAGAATTACATAATTCGCACTAGGTATTTATACAACTAATGGTTACTTCTTAATACATATTATTTATGATACACGCATTTTCTTCAAAATGGAAAATATTGATAAGCGTGCTACGTTTATGTCACACAATCACCATCTTAACAAAGTATAAAACAAAGTTCTTCTTCCTGTCTGTATGTTTCGATCTTTAAAACTACGCAATGGATTTTGATGAGGTTTTTTTTAATTTATAGAGTGATTCAAGAGGAAGGTTTATTTATGTACCATGTATATAACAGGCATAATTTAGTAGAGAAAAACTGCCCCTTTTTGTACGTACGAGCATATCTCGAAAAAAACTCTACTAAAAATAATAACAACCTATTCGAATTGTTCTTCGAGATATCAGGAATGTTTAAAGAGTAGTTTGAACCACGTTCGATTTTTACCAAGTGCTATACCCAATCCACCACACATAAATTGTTCACCTTGGTCGATTTAGTTTGCAAAGCTACCCAGATTTATCTGTGAACTGAAGTACCTAGGTAGGTACACAAAAACCAAGATACACTTCTATAATATGAATTTTTTTTTTACATTTTTTGGCGGGTGAAATCGGGTTATAGGTATAACTAAAATGTATGTTAATGTTAATTATGTTGGTTTATTCGAAGTTAATAGCCTCAAAAAATGACTGGACATTTTGAATAAAAGTTATTTCAATAGATTTTTTATTCAAAATTGGAGGGTGTATACAGCTTGATTTTTCAACTCATATAGGCTGTAGGTGCTTTTTTTAACATACGAAAAATGAAATTTTTTCTGTAATCTAAATGGTTGCAATTCGTTACATATTATATTAATATTGTAGTTAGAAGAAATATGGTATATACATTTTGTACAAATATATTTATTGAAAATACAAATCTTTGGCCTGGACGACAATTTTGTTTGTTTAGAAACCTGTAAAAGATAGATCTGTAACACATTCAAAAAAAAAAAAATGTAAGATGAAATATTCATAATCCATCAGTTATTCCTAAATCATCAAATCTTCTACACAGATATCAATAATATGTAGTGTTTACATAAAGGTTTCAAACCCCTCTCCCACTAGGTGGCATAGAATTTAAATGAACCACAAAATATTCGCAAAATCTCCACATTCATTTCATTATTATCGATTTTTGACAATTCTATCAATATCTCACTGACTTTCTTCAAAGCATTATTTTTATCTCCTTTTTACAATAACGCTGCAATTTCATGAAATAATTTTTATAAAATTATAAAATTTAAAATACTGAACAACCTACAGGTTTCAGGTTATTTTTTCACTATAAATAAAGAAGTGAGTATATAAAAAGTTTATTATAATTCATGCAATAGGTACATCAGGTACATCAAAATTTTATAATGTCAGGCTTCTAATATATTTAAATTAGAGACGGAAAAATAATAGTTTAAATGTTTAGTTCCTACTTCGAACATGACGACACGATGGAATAAAATTGAATTGGTGTACCTACTAATATATTCCACTATCAATGAATTCATTAAATATTTAAATTTTAGCTTCTACATTTATTCGAAACAAACATCAATGGACCGGAATACATGCAAATTAATATAGAAGAATTTGATTTAAATATAGATTGTACACAAAATTTCAGAACGAAGTGTAAGCTTGAACGTAAAGAATATGAGGAAAAAAATTTTAGTGACATCATCAATTTTAAAAATGAAACTGAAAATATTATAAAGGAAAAATGGGATACTGTCTTTATCAAACCGAAATCTATACATGTACGTTTAATACAATATTATAAAAAGCTGATTGTGTGTTTTTAATTTCAAATTTAATTTTAGTGTTTAAAAAATATATATAAAGTAGACAATTATCCAATAAGCAAAATTGACCAAGAGATCGCCATAAAGGCAAATAAAATCATAGAAGCTAGAATATATATAAGAGATATGTCAGATCAAATGTCCATGGATGTTCCATTGTATAAGTAAAAATTATAAATAAATTTTGTATAATTTCAAATGTGGAAAAAAATTTCTTCCTAGAGATCCTTTAGAGATATTAAACCCTGAAACAAATCCTGAATTAAATAATAAACAAAAGAATGATATATCAATGATGGGTTCAAGGAGTTATAAGTTTGTTGAAATTATTGACACTTTAAATACCCAATACAACTATTATAGATTAGAAATGACTGAAGATGAAAAAATTTTACTTCAAGTATATACACAAACCAATAATATATAAATGTGTTGATAAATTTTTGTAGTTATTAATGCCTGTATAAACATTGTTTATTCAATTAGTTTATGATTAACAAATTAAAACATAGATTTAATCAACTATTTGATGAATTATTTATTGAAAAACAACGGCAATTGGATAATTTGAAGGAATATCAGGACAGATTAAGTGTAATTGAAACTGAATTGCGGATGGCATGCAAAGGTATTGGAATTAAAAAAACCTGACAAAATCCAAAAATATTTGTATTATTACATTTTTTTCTTAGTTGAACCTACTGGACCTTTGCCAGTGAATTATAAATGGAATAAATATGAACGAACCGAAACACTGCTATATGTCAATGATGATGAAGTTACCGTTGAAATGTTTGATTTTACCAGTAACGAAATGTCAACTAACAAAGAAAAAAACAGTAAATTAGACAACTTTAAACAGCGGGCATTGATGATTATGATGGACGGTGTGCTGGAAAAAAGATGGGAAGATGAGTTAAAAAAAGATGTGCCTAAACCTCAATGCATGGTAGTGTACATTTCTACTAAATTGTATAATGTATTAATCATTTTCGTTTATAGTTAAATAAAAATCCTGAAGAATTCACAGCTGAAGATTTTAAGGCTATAGATAACTATGAAAAACTAACCTTGACTTTGAACGATGAAAGAATAAAATACAAAAATATTCTTGAAGAAGAAAAAATTAAAATCTACCATCATATTGAACAGATTATTATTGAATTCGATAACGATGTATTTACGCTGTTTCAAAAGAGGTTGAAGTATAATTCAGCTATCGAACAGGAACATTTAAAAATGCTTAGGCTTTCAAAAATGTTAAGTGATAGTGATCAACGAAAACAGAAAATGAAAGGATACAAGTATGAACAATTTTAATTTTTATGCCATTTTATGACATTTTTAAAATTATGTTTAAAGTGAAATCATGTTGAAGTTAAAAGAAACTATCATGGAGATTGAAGAAATAATTGAGGAAACGAATAAAAAAATATCAAAAACCGAGCCAAATTCTTTATTTAGTATTATAGAAACATTGAATTATAAAAACAACAATCTTGATAAACGTTTTAAATCTGAGTTTCGATCTAAGCTCAAATACGAACAAGCATTAATTGCCTACAAGTAAAAGATAAACTTCTTAAGAAGACGTCACACCCGCATTGGTTGTCTCCGTCTTACAAATGTACAACAAAGCAAAACTGTTTTGAGCGGGACAACTTTTTTCGCACCAGTTGCACCAAATTTGTTGTAGAACTACCAAATGTTTACAACAAGTAAAAAAGAACCTTATCTGTGTTTGAGAACATTATCCAATCATAACATCATAACAAAAAAACCAAATGTTTTGAAGCAAATAACTTTTATTGTATTTATATCATCTTAAATATAGGCACGCTGTTGCATAGGTAATTTTCTAGGCTGTATGTTCAGCAATTTTAGAGCCACTACTACAAACACAGAAAGATAAAAGTTGTCAAATGCAAAACAGTTTTTACTAAGTTCTACATTTGTAAGACGGATAGAACTATGCGGGTGTTACGTCCTCATAATGTATTTTTAGATCTTATAAAATTAATTTTAACTCTTAGTCGGAGACCTAAAATGCAAGGCAATAAAAATTATTCGTCATTACTTGGTTACCAGTTTGTCGACACAATTATGAATCCAACATATGATAAGCTACATATTTTGACCACAGAATTCGTTAAATACTTAGATACACTCAATATGTATGATGATTATAAATATGTAGAAAATAAAGGTCTGAATATGAGCAGAGAAACTTGGCATAAAGTATGCAATTTCAGACGTATGAAAATTGAATCTGAATTTAATATCAGTACTTGTCAAAAAGACGCAACAGATAACGATTATTTATTAGAAAGCTTAAAGTACATTAAAAAAAAAAAGGAAGCTATGATTGAGGAATTAAATATATCTAAAAATAGACTTGAAGATCAAGATTTATATTATGAAGTTAATCCTGAGGTAATATTAATTTAGGATTTTTAGTAATGCAAATAAAAGTTACCAAACATTAATTTAAATTATAGATTCAATTAGTAGTAAAACAAAGAAACGTTGAAACTGTTTTAACAGGAAACTTCAGTGATTTTGAAAATACATCACTTATTTCTAAAAATGCTATAGATGAAGTAAACGCAGAAATTAAAGTATGCTATTAAATACATTTATATAATTAATGTAGATAAAAGCTGGTAAAAATTAAAATATGTGATATTTATATTATACATTTTATATAATTTGTATTGATATAAAATTTGATAAACACCACTAATTGTTAACACTTATTGTCAACTAAGTGATTCAGTATACCAACTTTTGTCTGTATATTACAAATATCGATACAACAAACCATTTTTATCACTAAAAAATATATGATTTCTAGGAAGTGGGTAATATTAAAATTGATGCTGTATCTAATTTACTTAGATTTAAATGTAAACATCGATTATTAGAATGGGAATACGAGATACTAAAAAATCACAAAACTCAATTGTATACATTCCGTTTTGATTTTATAAAATCAATGAAAATAACCGAAAATATGTTATACTATTTCAAGTTCAAGTTAAAAGGAATAAATATTACTGAACAAGCTAAACAAAATTTAGGCAAAGAACTATCTGCGATTAAATTTGTAAGCTTTAACCATATGATTTAAATGAATTTGTATGTATATTAATTGTAATCAAAGACTTAATATATAGACCACGCATTACGCTCGTTTTATGTAAAACACCTTGAAGTCATTATATGTGAAAGGTAGCCAGTTCTCACCTTACACTTTCAAGGAGTTTAAGAGAAATTTATATAGGGTAATCTTTGAGATTATAAATATTTATATTATAAAATAATAATTACAAAATTGATAATATTCAAAATTATCAAAATGTTTATTACGTTATCATTAATAAATTAATTATTACCAAGGAATATTATAAAATTGTTTCTAACCTCCTTCAAAAAGTAACGTAGAGTCTGTAACTCTCACACATATATTGGCTTCAATATATTTCACTATAAGTCTATATTATTAGTCTATGAGTATAATATAGGTAATATAATGTTTTTAAGACTTACTCAAGAATAAAAGAAAATCTAAACCTAAAACTAAATGAACTGTATAAAATTGCAAGTAAAACTAAAAAAAGAAACGAAAAGGTTGACAAAGATATTGACCAAATGAAGTGGGAATTAAATGAATTAAAATGCCATATTAAGTTCGATTTGAATGATAAACTGATACATCATAGCGGTGAAAAGTAAATGTCATGCAATTTTTTTTTACCATTCTTATTTATAATATTATAATGATGTATAATCTTTTATGTTATCACAATTGATAACAGTGTATGTATACTCATTATTGCTCTCCGTTGTTGCATTAATTTTTTTTGTTATATCTAACAGTTACTAGTGTAATTAATTTTATATTACTTATTGAGTGTTTTTGTTGCGGTGTACGTCGATTTACATAATTGTATACTAATTTGATAAACTTTTTCATTGTTTCTTTTTCTCACGTCGTTGTGGACATCGATTTTTGGTACGTGTTATCATTAATTTTTATCAATAATTATTAGCTGTTTTTTTCAAAACTCGCTGTAGCCTTACCAGCTGTCTCTTATGGAAACGGTGGTTTAAATATTGTTATAATATTACTTACGCCTACCCGTGTACCACTGCTCAGCTTTTCTTTGGAGACTTTAACGATAGTAAACGTTGCCGACTAGTTAGTTATTCAGCATGCATATCACTCGTACTGCTGCCAACGACAAACTATCTTCCCCTAAAGCCTCTACTTTCAACGACGATATAATGGCTCCAATTAAGACGCTTAAGGTGGACATTTGCACCCCCAATCAGGCACTTTCTGACTCTTTGTCCTTGAAATTTAATAAGCTAAAATTGGAATTTCAAAGAGTGTCTAAAGAAGTATCCAAACTTAAAACTTCGTATGCCACCCTCCATGGTGAAGTTGAAGAACTTAAGGGTAAAGTTGCTAGATTGGAGGGCAGCGAACCCTTTGAGAATTCCCAATCTATTGTATCTCAAGTACTTCAAGAACATTTTGAGCATGAAAGATGTCTTCCCAATTTTATCGTAAGGATTTAACATGACAAACTTACTATTTCTAAATCTCTTGGTTCACTGGAGAATGCTGTTCCTGAGAAATTTAAGTTAATTCGCCTTGGTAGATACGTCCAATAAAAATGATTTGTGAATCTAAGGATACTGCTTTTAACCTTTTCTCTGCATATAGTTCTGCTAAACATTTGGGAAAGCAGTTTTCTGAAGGTTTTCGGATATCCAGGGATAGGACTTCCTTGCAGCGTAAGCTCTTGCGGTCATGCTACGAGGACCTTGAAAGGACGTACGAGGAGAGTCAACTGTGGTGAAACAGACTTACGGGTAATATTCTTAAACGGGTTCCCTTCTGTTGGTTTTTCGCTTTCAAAAAACGAGGATGGTTGTTTCAACAGTCATGCAGCCAATCCTAGTTCTTTCGCTTCACCATGATAAAATCTTAGGATTTTATCAAAATTGCCGTGGACATAGAACCAAACTATCTAATTTAATTTGTAATATATCTGCTTTTAACCATTGATTTATTGTATTAATGGAAACCTGGTTAAATAATGAACTTGGTTGTTTATATAACTATAATATTTTTAGATGCGACAGATGTACTAATACCAGTGTATTTTCTCGGGGGTGGAGACGTCCCCATTAGCATTTATAAAGATTATCCTGCTTCTCTATCTGTCCCTGACCTAAATGTTGAACATGTTTTTGTTCGCTTTACGGTTGGTCAATCTAGTTTTGTTTTAGGTGGTATCTTTTTTCCCCCTAACTCTTCTCCTATCCTTTATGAGTCACATATTAACTGTATCGAATACATAAGAGCTACCCTGCCCACTCATTTATTTTATGTGGTGACTATAATTTGCCGGAGATATCTTGGGACAATGGCGATCATGGCCTAATTTATTCTTCCTTATCACACTCCCAGGGTACTTGTATTCCTGAAGCATTCACTACTTGCGGTTTTATCCAGAAAAACAATATGGCTAATCATTTTAATTCTATACTTACTTGACCTTGTGTTTTCTAGTAATAAACTAATGTGTGTCGAAAAGTCGTATGAACATGTTGTTCCAGCTGACCTTTATCATCCTGCATTAAATATTTGTCTCCCAATAAATCCGTCTTCTCCCCATTGTAATCGCAGTCACTCATTCTACAACTTTTGTAAAGCTAACTTTGAGGATGCACGTTTGTTCTTATCATCATTTGACTGGTACTCAACTTTAAAATTATACAATGTAGACGTTCAATACTTTTTATGATGCCTTACACAAATCTGTTCTCGACTTTGTTCCTAAGTGTACATTTGGCGATTCAAAATTATTGCCATGGTTTGATAAGACTCTAAAAAATATCTAGTTTTTAAAGAAAAAGGCATATATTAAATTCAAGACATCCTCAAATGCTCTCAACAACAGGGAATTTTCATTGCTTCGAGATCGGTTTAAATACGAATCAAAAAAATGTCGAACGTATAGACTCGTCTTTAAATAGTAACCCTGCTGTTTACCGGAAGTTCATTAAAAACAAAATTTCTTTTAGTGCGATTCCTAAGGAGGTTTCCTATAGGAAAACAACCTCTACTAACGAGCGGGAAGCCGAACATTTGTTTTCTATGTACTTCTGTTCTGTTTTATCCGATAATCAACTTAATCTTGATACTTCCTAGTTAGGTATCGAGTCCTTTGATTTACCTAATAATGTTAACTTTACTGTTGAAAATATTTATAAACAATTATCTGACTTGCATGGTAACTGGTCCATTGGACATGATGGTTTATCCGGTGAGTACTTATATCAATTAAAAAATATTATAGCTTTCCCTCTCTGGACTCTTTTTAAGAGTTCGCTTCCCAGTGTTCTTCAAGGAGGTCACCTATTTCCGCTCCTGTTCTCTCTATTCATTAATAGTGTACCAGTTCTTCCAATAGCCAGATGTTATGTTTTGCAGATGATATTAAGCTCTACTACTGTATATCCTCCATGGATGACTGTTTTTATTACAGAGTGATTTTGATCGGTTCACGGAGTGGTTTAATTTTCTAGGGTTATCCTTTAATATTTCTAAATGTAATACCATGACTTTTGCTAGGATTCAGTCCCCTGTAAAATATGCTTATCATCTCGGACCTACTGCTTTTTCATGTTCTAATAACTGTGGTGTCTTGACCCCACATTGAGCATATTTCTTGTAAGGCTTTTAAAACTCTGTTGTTTGTATTAAGATTATGTAGGGATTTTTGGTTAGGTCTATCATACAAGGTGCTTTATTATGCACTTGTTCGCCCTATTGTTGAGTATGGTGCCGTTATTTGGGATCCTCACGACCTCAATGACTCTCTTAGACTTGAAAGGGTTCAGCGTAAATGTATGAGGCATGCTAGTTTTAGATTGAATATCTCCTGTGAACCCCATAAATATGGACCAGTTGCTTCTCAACTAGGACTGCTTTCTACGCTGAGCGTAGACGATTTCATGCATTAAGTTCCTGGATAGCTTTACAATTTAATATTGACTCTCCCTATTTCCTTTCCTTAATTTGTTTTAAAGTTCCAAAACGTGATTCCCGATTTTTTGCTCCTTTCTATGTTCCTTTCGCCTCCGATAATTACTTTAAAAATGAGCCTATTACACCTATGATGTCAAATGTCAATGTTGACCCTTCGTTTCTTCTTTGCCCATAATTTACTGTGTAGCAATTAATTTATTATTATATCATAATTTGTACATTAAATTGTCGATTTGCGGCAATAATTGAGCGCAGATAACTAAGTACAGTGACAATAAGCTCAGCAGCAATTTTGTGCAGTATTAACTAATGCTTAAAAAATATCAGTACCTACATTATTGTACGTATCTACCTATAATAAAAATAATATTTAAAAAAAATAAACCAAGTTATAGTTATATATTTTGAGCAGCCTTTTTAAATTTTTCGAAAATTGAACTATTGAGTGTTGATATATATTCTTTATAGTTAATTCTTAAAGCAACACACAACACAAAAACATTTTTTTTAATTTGAAAGAATGTCCAACTCTAAGAATAATGGTATGGATTTTATGTTTCTCCTCACATTATTCATTAAGTTATGAGCAATTAAAAAAAGACACGTGACCTCTTATCGTAATTTTCTATATTAAACATATAAAAACTTCTAGCTTGACATTACTACTTTAATTAGTTAGTGGTATAGTGATTAGGATATACATATTATACCAGCTAATGTAGTTAATAGGTATTATGAAGCTGCCACCCAGATTAGGCAGGGGTATGTGATTAGTATTCGGATTATTGAGGTATGCAGTAAGATAGACGATTTAATTTGGAGGATTAATTTGTAGTTAACTAGGGGAAAAAGTGTGTTCATTCTTGCATAGCCTTGAGTGAGTTTTTTATTTATATGAATTTTCCATGTTAGTTGTTCGTCTAAGAACACTAAAAGGTACTTGACAAAGTCATCTTTATTGTTCCATTGTATTGGTTGGTTATTAATGTAAATGGATTGGAGATCTTTGTATCGTTTAAGGGAAAATATTTTTGGTGCGATTTTTGTTGGATTAAGGTTTAATTTCCATATTTTGAACCAAGTAGTTACTGTGTTTAGGGCTGTTTGAAGATTTTATATTGAAGATTCTAGGGAGTTGCTTTGGGTCATTTTAGTTGTTACATCCTCAAACGTCGCCAGCTGTGAGTTTGAAGGAATTGGTATGTTGTAGCAATAGATGTTAAACAGGTAGGGCCAAGAACTGAGCCTTGGGGGATTCTGGCTTGTACATTGTGAGATTGAGAATAGTTTGTTACAATTCTGACTTGGAACTTTCGATCCGATATAAAGGAAATAATGGTTTTTAGTAGATATTTGGGAAGATCTAGAGAATTCAATTTGTGTTCAAGTCCATGGTGCCATTCCTAGTGGAAGGCTTGCGTTACGTCGAGGAGGACAGCAGTTGTATATTGTTTCTTTTTCAAGCCACTTACAATTATTTCGGAGATTCGTTGGATTTGGTGAAATGTACGAGGGCGTACCCAAAAGAAACCGAACTATTTTTGTACAAAGTTATTTATTTAATTTTTTTTCAAAAAACATTAAATCTCCTTCAAAGTACTCTTCGTTGGAGTTAATGCACTTGTCCAATCTTTTGTTCCAATTTTCGAAACATTTTTTACACTCATCT